CTCATCCAGCTTGATCTCTCTTCATTTCACATCTGTCTGATGCTCAGACTTGGGGTCTGAACACTTCAGTACTGACCAGGGTACTATCTTCAACATCAGCTCCATCATCTGTTCAGGGATAGACTGTTCACTTAGCCAAACCAGATGTTGATTTTTAACATCAAGCCATATATCCTGTGCTGCCAACCACTTCTGTCCCAGGATGACAGAGTGCTGACCTAGGTCTGTTATCAGCAGAGGGACATTCTGAAATCTCCAGCCATTCACCCAGAGGTTTAGGGTCAATGTGCAGTCTATCACCCCACTGGGGGCACCATTGTATCCCTTCATGCAGCATTTGAATGGAAGTTCTTGAAACTTCCTATCAAAGAATCTTGCCAATTCTATGGCATATCAGATATCAATAAAATTCACATCATTTGCTTCAGTATCAGCAAGAGAATTTGTAGAAGTAGCAATTCCATTGTAGGCTAATTTGATTGATACATTAAAGCTTTTCCCCTCAATTAAGTCCTTCATCTCAAATCTCTCACAGACTGTTGAACTATCTGAGGTGAAGTCTTCTCTCAGACTCACTCTTTTCTCAAATCTGCTGAAGGCTCAGAGGCATCATTCTCTGTGAGCTCAGCAATCATCTGCTGGGACTTCTGCTTTGCAGAACAGTTCCTGGCAATGTGGTCTTTTTTCTTACAGTAGTAGCACTGAATATCTGAACAAGAGCTCAAGGCCTCCTTCACAGTAGAGGATTTTGTTGTAGAGATGCTGGGGGGTGTTTGACTGTTGACAGTTCACAGAGTGTTCTGTTTGAAGATATTAGACTCATTTCTCTGCAAGCTCTTTGATTTCTGAGTGGCATTGATCATCTGGAGGGTGTGAGCTGCCTGCACACAGATTTTCTGAAACTCAGCATATGTATCAGTGATTGCATTGACTACTGCTACCATCTTCTGAAGGTCAAAGAACAGCTTGTCATTGAAGTCTGTCTTGTAGTCCTCTCTGACAATCTTGACCTCCCCTGCCAGATGTAAAAATTTTGTGACAAATTCATGATAATTATCCTCATTGTGCATAATCAGCTTGTGATAATCACTCTTGACATTTTGCAGTTTGTTAGCATTCTCATATATTGACTTGAGATGCTCAAACATCTCTTCTGCAGTTTGATATTGCTCAGAGTGGTTCTCTTTCATACAGAGTGCAATGTGATGTGCTGTGTCCCCATCAGTCTGGTTTTCAATGTACACTATTCTCATGTGTTCAGTAGAGTAGTGGTCAGCATTCTTCCAGAGCTTGTTCTTCATCTGAGAGAGTCAGTGTTCAAATTTCAGCTTCTTACTGTCAGTGAGGTGTTTCAGATCATCAATCTTGACAAACCTTCTGGCAGTCTCAGAGAGGATGACATCTTGACTTGCTGCTTGATTGCTGACTGTCATGCAGATCAGAGTGTGACTAAGTTCATCATGTTCAGCAATTAGCTCATCAATCTGACTTTGCTTGACAGCAGTCTGATTAGTAATGTTGTCCCATTTCATTCTCAGACATGTGATCATATCTCTTAATGTTTTTTCATTGTCAAAGATGTCATCAAAGATCACTGTCAACTCATTATAAACACAGTCACTGTCTGAGTGGATTGCCTCTCTGAATTCTTCAATTGAGACATGTGATTGATCAGTTGGTCTTGTTAGAAGGTATCACCAGTTCTTTCAGCCCCTTCCAGGGGGTTGGGAGCCTGTGGTGACCATCTGATGTTGGATTGAGCTGTTGTCTTCAACAGTGCTGTTGTCTTAGCAGTTGATCTGACATGTTGTCAGACTCTGAACTAGCAGGTTCTAATTCAACTGAGGCACTTAAGTTTTCTGCTGAAACCTGAGTGAGAAGGTAGAAGGGAAGCTTAGTATTGTGTTAGGGAGTGAATGCAAGCTGCATAAGAAGAAAGACTCTCTGTGTTGCTAACTGCTATATAACAAAATACTAAGCTTGATGGGATGAAAGGGGGTGCTGGGGCCTGCGTGGATTATAACCACCTGCATGGTCGTGTGGTCATGTGATATGGATTAGGCCTAATCGGGCGCCGAGCTTAATCCGACGTCGAGTCTAACCGGGCACCGGCCTTCGGTCGGGCTCGGTCGGACGCTGAGCCTAACAGACAGAGGTGTCTAAATACCATGATTTGAATAATATCTCAAATGATATAAATAGTATAATTGTAGTATTAATATTAAATTGTGAGACAAGAAGATCAGATATCTTTTCATTATTTTTATTATTATTATTCTTATTTTTACTTTTTCTTTATTATTTTTTGAATTTTATCTGTTATTTTTCTCATCAGTATTTTTAGTAATTTTATTCTTATTCACTTTTTCTCATTGATTAGTTGCTAATTCTAGATATTGTCATTAGTATATTTTATTTGTATGCTCTGCTTAGTTGCAAACATTGTACTTTAAGACAGAAAATGATGTATTGAACTGCTTATTATCATTACTTATAGTGATGACATTTGTCTTAGAGACTTTCAAATGATCAGTCTTCTTTATCTTGCTTATATGATTAATTAGTTATTTCATTAGATCATCAATATTCATATTCATAATCAGATCTTGATCAGTTGTATAAAAGTCATTAAGACAAGTCTTTACAAATGCTTTCTGATGATCATATAGATCAATTAGGAAAAAATTATGATAGAAATTATCATTCTAAGTAGCTAACTTCTTATGCTGTGTAGCAAGATATTCAAATCTTCTTTGATAGATAAGATAGTCATTATTCTTGACAACAAGATTTGAGAGCTTCTTCATGATATTCATGTGTTTTTTTTACTAAAGAAATAGTGTATTTTTGACTAATCTTCTATCACAGATCAGCTGCATTATCTAGTTCTAAGATTTCAATTATTTTATATATAAATTTTAGTAGATATTACAACATTCAACAATATAAAATCTTTATATATAGTATTTAATATATTTTTTTAACACATCAGTATTCTGAGATAATTTATACTGATTTCTTATAAGAATATCAGTGGCTTTAATAATCTTCATATTTGTCAAAATGTCAATTCTTCAGATCTAATAGTTGATTTCATCAAATGTCATCACAGTCTTTGTATTCATCAAAGCTTGTACTTTCTTATGATGATATTCACGTATTTTCTGTTTTAGAGTATATGCAGAGATAATTTCATTTGTACAGATGTTCTTCTGCACAGTCATCATATGATGACAAAACACAAGTAGATCAGATGCAGTCATTGTGATTATGTTATAAGGGGTTGAACCCCTAGATTCGCTCTGGCTGGCTGACTCAGCCTAGCCATCGTTTGCACGTGCGCACGTGATCATGCTACGCGAGCTTGCTTAAGCTCGAGTTCTCATCTCATTCTTTTCTTCCCTTTCTCAAGCAATTCGTCCTTGTTATATAGGAGGACTAGCCTCTAGTTCTTAGAGCTTAACCCTTTACATATGTTATTGATATTAAGAGCAGGAATTGAAATAAAGTCAGAATTTGAGCTAGAAGTCTTATCATTTTCTGACAATTCATCATATACATATCTTTTCTCTATATTACAGATTGAGCTGACTTCTTTCATTGCTTTTTCTGTCAATATGTATTCAATTTCTTCTTCATCTGCAGAACTAAGCACTATATTCTCTACTTCTTTATAGAGTATTGAGAATATTTCTAGAATTTTTAAATGAAAATATAGAAATTTCTTTCATTCTAATTGAGAAATAGATGATAATCTACTCATCTAACCAGAAGACTTGAGTATTCTCAGATCAAAAATTTTTAAGAAAAGAAAGAAAAATAGGAAAAAGAGAAAAATGATGTTTTTGTTTTAATTTTTTTATGAATACAATCTCTTTCTCATAACAAATAGTATTCTCTTGAGATCTTCTGATTTTTAGTGTAAAAAGAGTGTTTTTAAAGAAAATCTAGTTGAACTCATCCAATATCGCATTGGTTGCAGTGTATTCTAATTAAAATGTCTTGTTTTGCTTAAAAAACTGCTATCTGGGCTATAACCTATGGGATGGTTGAATCTCTCATATTGGGATGCCTAGCTAGCTATCTAATATACGCTATATCACGTGCGGCGGGGCGGCAGCCCGGGCCACATACGCCCAACACACGATAACATGAGCACGTGGTTTTCGCTGACTCATCCCAAGGCGCAAGCAACGAACGTTTCCTTCGCTGAGCCTCAATCTTCAACCTCAAAAATCTTCAACTCGCTCTATCCTACGACAGCAAAGACAACGAAGACGCAACGATAACCCTACTCTCCAGCTGCAACGGCTGTTCCTTGAATATCTCTGCATATTTCCTATTGTCACTGCCAGCAACCTTGTATTTGATTGTGCTCTTCTATCTCATTTTACCCACCCCTAGTCTGATTCTACCCCATCCTCGTTGCTTTGCACCCCCGTTTCCTAATTTGCCTCCTGGGGCAATACATCATCTGCTATTAACCAAACCCCGGCTTTCCTAGCTGCCAGCACGTTAGCTGTTGGAGTATTTGGCATTTTGTTGCTGAGAAGGACGGAAATAGGACTGGTGGCATCGTGCGGAGGTCGTATGGGTGGTGGATTATACTAGGGAGATATTTGCATTTGGAGGGTTTCACATCAGCCTGTTCTGTCAAGTGTGCACAGAGAATAGCTAGTAACCATTCTACAAATTCTGTCCTAACTTTTCATTTCTTATTTTAAAAATTTCTCACTCTCATTTAGCAGAAAGCTTGCTTCAGGCAAAAACAAGAAGACACTGAACAAAAAGAAAGAGACAAAAGGATTCCGTTCACTGCTTCTCCTAGCAAAACAGGACATTACTGCAAAATTCTCCAAGGAAACTCATTCACCTTTCTGCCCTGCTTATATTTTACGTTTCTTCTTTGCTATTCCTTTCTTGTTTCACTTTGTCTTTGATATCCTCTTATTTATCAGTTCATAATCTTCTCAGTTCCATCGGTATACCAAGTGCCCAGCATGTCGGCAGGACTGGCATCTGATGAAGTCGCGGAAGATTACAAGAACTCCCTCGAGGACCTAACAGGAAACGATAAATTCCAAATTAGCAATCTTACTGTGATCGCTAAGGAGAACACTGAACATGCGATGGCCATCTCCCGAGTATTGGAGAATCATATCCGAACGGTAGGTACTTCATACTTTTCTTGCTTTCTCCTGCTTGCCCCCGTTTCTGTTACCCATTAGCCATTCCTTCTATGCTTTGCGACCCCTCAAACTACTCGAGCACCTGTAGCAATATTGACATATTCACCTCTAACTCGGATTTTCATTTGTAGACTCCCCCAGCCCAGAAGCTCCCGGCTCTCTATGTAGTTGATTCAGTTGTGAAAAATGTAGGAACGCCTTACACCCTATTTTTGGGCCGCAACCTTTATCAGACATTCATGAACGCATATACTCTTGTCGACTCTCAGACCCGGAAAAAACTGGATGAAATGTTGAAAACTTGGAAAGAGCCCGTTCCCGGCTCCCTGGACACTAGACCTGTGTTTCCTGTTGAGATAACTCGCAGTATTGAGAATGCTCTGATCAAAGCCAGAACAGCTGCCCTTCAAAACCAGCAGGCGAGAAGCCAGCAGGATCTTCTCGGCCGGAACCGTGGAGTTGTTACGCCTCCGACTTCGACCACCTGGCAACATACTCCAACTCCGCCGCAAGCTGCTTCACGATATGCGCAATCATCCAATCAAAATGCTCCCCCACAGCACCCAAGTAATGGACAGCTCTATGTAAGCGCTCAATGCCTCCCGATTGCGCTGGCTGTTCTTCTACTAATGTCAACCCAGCAGTCCCAGCCATACGGACACCCAGTCCAAGAACCTGTTGATCTTGGCGCATTACACCGTGATATAGAGAATCTGATATCAAATTCTCGAATTGACTTCGCAAATAATCCCCTTGACCCTTCAATTCAGCAACGGCTAAAAGCCCTTCTAGACCTCCAGAATATCCTGCAACAACAAAAGCTGCCTCAAGATCAGTTGAGACTTATTCGAGACCAGGTATCTCAGCTCTCACCACCATCCCAACCGCCTCCACGAGCTGTTCCAACTCCACCGGTGCAATCGGTGCAACCAATGCAACAAAGCCAGCCATCACAGCCAAACCTTCAAGCCCTGCTGAATCCGAACACGATCGCAGAGCTCTTAAAAGTGAGAACAAACCAACAAAGTCTCACTCCACCGCCGCCACCGCATATCCCCTCATTTCTTCAACAAGCAGCAACTAGCACACCACCTCCTCCACCTCCTTCTACAGCTCCTGCCCTAGCAGAAAATCCATTGATCGCCTCTCTTAGAGCCCGAGGGTTACTTCCTCCCCCTGTGACATCGACTCCTCCAACACCCACGAATCTTCCCTTTATTCTCCCTGGACAAGCGGGATATACAGCCCCGGTTGCCATACCTCAACTATCCTCCCTCTCCGAAGCCAAAATCAATGTCCAAATGACCTCAGCGTCTATCAAAATGTAAGCGCTCCTATAACAAAATATATTGAACAGTAATTGTAATAACTGTGTTACCCATTTTTCTATCTAGACCAAGACCGAGTCTAATTGCAACACTTTACGAAGACAAGCCAAACAGATGTGGCACATGTGGCCGACGCTTTCAATCAGATGATCAAGGGAAGGAAAGAAAAGCACGCCATCTGGACTGGCACTTCAAAACCAACCAACGTATGACTGAAGCTGCCAAGCGCGGGCAAAGCCGAAGCTGGTATTTGGATGAACGGGTATGTAACTACAAAAGAACCTACGTCTATATATCTCGGTAACCCCAGCTCACAGTAGTCAACAGGAATGGATAAACTCACTAGAATACGACGACGACATCGGCCCGACTGGTGAAGGCACAACTTCCATTAACGGATCGGCAACCGACGCTGCCGCAGCGGCTGCAAAGAAGACGCCACAGACGCAATGGATCCACGTGCCAAATGACGCAACGCTTCGAAGCGTGCCGTGCCCCATCTGCCAGGAACAGTTCGAATCGACGTGGTCTGAAGAAGCGCAGGATTGGATTTGGCAGGATGCTACCAAGGTGGGCAGTCGGATATATCATGCTAGTTGCTATTCGGAGCTCACGAAAGATGGCACGGGGACGGGGCGCGGAACACCCGTGGGTAGAACTGGTAGTCGGACGCCTGACTCGGTCTTGGGGAAGAGGAAGGCGGAAGTAAGTCTCCTCGCGTTGTTTATTTTGCACAGCAATCCGAAGCGGAGGGGTGGCGTAGTATACTAACTATTTTTTCTCATTTGTATCCAGGAACCAGAAAATGCCACAGCTAGTGTTAGAATAAAAACTGAACCTGCATCCTGACATGTTTTATACCTAGAAGCTTTTTCCTTTCTTTTCCTACTTTTTTAGCCTTTGAGCGGCCGGCCTCATTTTGTACCCATGACCCCAGAGCAGGGCTGCCACGCAGGCTTTAGACCCTAATATCTCTCACTGCTTTCGCCACTTCAATATATTGTTTGAACATACAAGCTGGCTGCTATTCATTTCATTTGAAAAGTCTGTCTAGAGGCTTGACTTAGACTTCGGTGTTTTGTTTTATTTCAACCTCTTCCATGAGCATGGCATGGCATGGCATGGCTCCTTTTGAGTCTATATTTCTCTAGTTTTTTCATAGATTGTCATCTACTCCTTTCTTTCCAATAGCAGACAATATTCGAAAACCTGAGTTTCGCGTTGTTTTATCCGGGTTTATTCTTATTGTTTTTATGCCTGTTTGTTTAATTGAGTTGATAGCCATAGAACTAAGAATAAGAAAACAAAATCTGTGAAATTACTTCAGCTGTCTTAACATTTTCTTCGTTCAGTCATCACCACCGGCTCTCATCGGTATGCCGAAAACCCTGACTTTTCGCAAACTTCCGGCTTCTAAGTTGCGGAACCGAGGTCCCAGCGTAGTGGTTACATGCTAAAGATGCCATCGTGCGATAACAGCAGCTTATTCCGCCTAAGTTCAAGGTTTATTATGCGAGTATGACGGTAGCTATGGAACTCAAACGTAAGCCCTCATTAGCGTTTGGATAAGTTTATGTCAACCCTTCGCCAATCTTAGCATCCAATATTAGTTAGGAGGATCATGTGTGGGTTAACCAGACCTTGCTGCCATCTCTTTTCCAGCCCAGTTCGCAGCATATATCGACGATCATAATGGCGGAACCATACATTGCCAGGTGGGGGTTCATGGGTATGGATAGACACCTTTCTTGCATTCCACACCCTACGGCACATATTCAATTAGCTGACATAGTATATATATATTTAATTAGCCACGGGAGGGATTGCCAAAAGTATGAATCATATCCAATCACCCTGATAAAACCCATAGAATAAATAATATAAAACAAATGAATACCCGCGCCCAATAATCTAACCATGATGATACCTCGTCAACAATCGCAGCATTCGCAATGGATCTGCTCATCGACTCCTCCCTCCGCAACGCCCTAGATATCTCCCACAAAATAACAGCAGTCGCCTCCTCTGCCTCGCGCGAAAGTGCAGAGAAATTCATAGCAGACCTCTCTATCCCCCAGCCATGCGCAGCATACGGTTCCTATGAGGATCTCGTCAATGATGCCAATGTGGACATCGTCTACATAGCCTCACCACACTCTCATCATTTCCAGAACACGATGCTCTCGCTGGAAGCGGGGAAGCATGTGCTGGTTGAGAAGCCGATAACTGTCAATGCCGCGCAGGCGAGGATCCTCGTTGAGACGGCGAGGAGCAAGCAATTGTTTCTTATGGAGGCGGTGTGGACGAGGTATTTCCCGCTTTCGGTGCAGATTCGGGAATTGATTGGGAAGGGGGAGATTGGGGAGGTGCTGCGTGTGACGGCGGATACGAGTGATGGCGGTAGGGATCCGGAGGGGCAGTGGGGGACGACGCACCGGATGGTTAACATGGATTTGGCGGGCGGGGTGTTGTTGGATGGTAAGTGCGGTTATTACATCCATAGCAGTATATTCTGTGAGTTGTGGCAGCATGGAGAGCGATAATAACGGTGTATATATACACAGTGGGCATCTATTCCTTAACCTGGATATTCCAGACGCTCTACCATACCCTACCCCCGTCCAAACGCAAACCCCCTTCTTCCATCCAGTCCCAAATGATCCACTACCAGCCCACAGGCGCTGACGAGTCCACCACAATCCTTCTCGAATTCCCTTCCTCAACGCCCGCAGGGACTCACAAAGCTCAAGCTGTCGCCATGACCAACTTCCGCATATCCTCCAACCCAGATGGAGACTGGGCTGCGGGTCCCTCCGTGCGCATTCAGGGCACGAGCGGGGAGATACAAGTTTTCGGGTTCCCGTTTCACCCGGACAGTTTCAAGGTATTACCACGCAAGTTTCCAGGTGAGTGTGATGGTGGTGGGGAGGGCGTGGGGATTAGAGAGGTTGTAGGTTCGTTTCCGGGGAATGGGAAGGGGATGTATTGGGAGGCTGATGAGGTGGCACGGTGTGTGAGGGATGGGAAGCTGGAGAGTGAGACGATGCCGTTGGAGGAGAGTTTGGTTATTATGGATGTTATGGATGAGGCGAGGAGACAGGGGGGTTTGAGGTATCCGGAGAAAATTGAGTCGACTGTGTATCCGTTGAAGCTTCCGCAGAAGAAGCGAGATTCTTAAACGGTCAAGTTGTTTAAGGGTTGATAGTCCCTTTTGGGGGGTGAGAATTTCAAGTTAAGTTATGCAAATGTAATTCATGGAGCGATTAGGCAAGATAATTAATTGCTCTAGCTAGGTGGTAAATCTGACACGTTGACATGTATTAAACACGCCTTTACTTTCTGCAAATGATTAGGACTGGTTGCTACGGATTTTCAACCCCCCTAGAAGGGTGACAAGGTGGAATCGCCTATGCAAAATCATAAAGTGGGGATTCTTACTCTCGTTGGCTCAGATCTCACGGTGCTGGGATATCTAACCTATCTCATCACCATCATAAAAACATCGAAACATAACAGTAAGTACAGTAGATTCAACGAAACCAAAAGAAACTTGTGAGATTTCATACCATCAGACGCCAGACACCAGACACCGGACTTCCCATTCCATATTGTTTTTTGGGCAACATGTAACTGTCCATGACGAACTTATCCAGATGGAAACAAAGAAAAGAGGGAAGAGTTATTGAACCAACAATCACCAGATGCTCGTGACACGAAGCCAGATGATTAACCAGGGCAAAAAGGAGAAAGGGAAGTTAAATAAGAAAGCAGAATAAACCAATCGCCATGAAATACTCAAGAATCTTCAAATGCTCCCGTCCTCCGAAAATAAAGCACGCACAGCGTGTCCTTTTAGTAGTCGCCAGGGTCAGCGGATACGAAAGGGTCCGTTGTGTGTACAGTACATATTCACTGAGCCGTGCCGGGTTCGACTTCAAAATCGAACTCCTCGCCGGTAGTTGGAATTGGCGCATCCGTTGGGTCGGGTGATTCGGTCTCGCTGCTATCAGTTGTGGAACCCAATTGGTCCGGCTATGGTTTAATGTTAACAATCAGATCCCAGTTGATAAAGAATATCAAATTCATTCATTGAGGAGTCTGTTATGACACTCGCTCTACCTACGAGTGCAGTTGGAGGGGTTGCAACTAGTCCCAACAGGCGGGCGGGCATGGAGAATGAAAGAGTAGAAGGAAATCGGGATAAACTCACCATAACTTCGATGAGGTCGCCATCGTTAGGCATGGGTGCGGGAGGGCTTGGCACCTCAGCCGTCGGCATAGCGCGGTCCATATAACTGACTGGGTTGGCGGGTGGTATCTGAATGCCGTCATAACGTACAATTGCTGTAAGTATAGGGGCGGGAGGACCTTTAGCGGGATCAACAACATAGAGGTGGGGAAGGAAAGGGGCAAAGTGGGGTTACGGAGATTGAGATGGCGAAACCAACAGGGCCCCAAATGAGATAGAAACAAGAAGATAGCCCAAGCGGAATTGAAGATTTGGGGTACTCCAGAGAGGGTTGGGAGGCAACATTGACTGATTTGTCCTCTCTGTTTTGAGCGCAAACTTACGCTCAAGGTGAAGCATTCCCAAATCCGCACTGGTCTTGGGACTGAAAGATGTTCGTGACAAAGAAGAGAGATGTTAGCTGTCTATAATTGGAAATAACACAGTGTACTGAGAGTAAAAAGGACCTGTAAACAGGCCTGTTTCCTCTTCTTCCCCCGTTTTCAGAAGTCAAGGTAGGGTGACAGAAAGGGGGAGGCCCAGGGAGCATAGGCTAATGCCACTTGACTTGGTGATATGGCTGGTAAGCAAGGAGAAGTGATGGAAGAGCCTTACAATTGAGGTTGCCCTATTTCTAAGCCACCAACAGAGGAGGTTGGTTGGTTCTGACGACCCTCACAAGCACATGAAAAACAATTACCCATTGTCAGATGGATAACTTGATATTCTGAGAAATTAAGGAGTGATAGAGCTGAAAGCTGTGACTGAGGAAGAGAATGAACAGGATTTCGCCCTGATTAGAGCAAGTATCTGATATAGGTAAGGATTGCTGATGAGAAACAACCTGGGAACAGAGGATTCAACAAGAATGGGATGAAAGAGTTTTGAGGAATAAGACGAAGAGGAGTGGATTAGCGAGGTTATGAGATGGTTCATGATGTGAAGAATTGATATAGCATCAGGGAGTCAGTGCTTCTGTCACCAAGGAAACAGGGCATTCCCATCAACACACCACACACAAGAGATACAATGTGTTCTTGGCCCAAAACAGTGTCAGATTCTATAGAAAAAAGGTATATAGCAAAGCTTGGCTCAAGCTAATATAAATGCCATAACTTTGCTTTTGATATCTGATAACAGACATATCAGAGCCCTTGAGCACGAATACAGAGCCACACATGGGTATCAAGTAGACTGAAAGGAAACAACTATTAAAAGAGAACAAGAAAAACAAACACCCAACCCTTAGAACAGCCAGAAAAGGAAATGAAACCGGAGAAAATAAAACAAGACAAAGTAGATTTGCCAAAAGTGGTTGATTGACAGCGGAAAAGTATTATGATACAAGAGCTGCGTATCCCGCATTCTATGTACGAGTACAGTTGCTTACCTATCGCCAAACAAAATGGAATAGAAGCTTTTCGCGTATAAAATCATGGGGCACATAATATTCTCCAACAGGAAGTCGGACCGATCCATTCCCGGCACCGGAGAAAGTAGAGGGAATCCGTGAAGAGAAGAAACAAAACGGAAGCGGGTGCATAAAAGGCCTAACGAGATATGAGGACATGATGATTTGTAAGAGGCAAAAAGATGTTAAAATTATGCCGGCCTTATTTTGACAGGCCAATTTTGCCAAGAATTGGGCTAGAAGGGGTCTTGTCGCTGTCAAATACTTTCAGCAGGCTCTTCCACACCTGTCCGGGTTCTTGGCTAGCATCGATCCCCGTCCAGATGCCGGTTTTCTTGTAGTATCCAACAATAGGGGCAGTTTGGGAGTGGTAGGTCTTGAGTCTCTTTTGCAGGGCCTCCGCGTTATCATCGGAGCGCTGAATCAATGGCTCCCCGGTAATATCGTCCTTCATGGGCTCCTTGGGGGGGTTGAAGATCTTGTGATACGACCGTCCCGAAGCTGGATGGACCAAGCGACCAGTTATCCGTGCAACCAAGAGCGCATCGTCGATCTGGAGCTCGATGGCGTGTTGAAGCTTCTGGCCACGCGAATCAAGCATGCCATCTAATCGCTCAGCCTGAGCGACTGTGCGTGGGAAACCATCCAGGATAAAGCTATATATGTTTCCAAGAGCGTTATGTTAGTCAAGAAATGCATACAATATTCCATGCCTGGCGCCAAAATTGAGAAGAAGCAATACGCACCCGTTCTGGCAGTCCTTGTTCGTCTCCAGCTCATGCTTGATCATGTTAACCATGATCTCATCACTAACCAGTCCTCCCTGGTCCATGATCTTCTTGGCCTCCTTGCCCAACTCAGTCTTGCGAGCGACTTGTGACCGTAACATATCTCCCGTGGCCTGCAAAAAAAAAGTAAAATAAAAATAAAAAGCACGATCTCATCAGTTACCAGTCAATCGATCCACTTGAGGATTTTTCCTCCCAAACGCGGAAGGAGGTTATGTGTAGCAACTCACCAGGTGGCAGACACAGAACTTTTCCTTGATATTGGGAGCTTGAGTTCCCTTGCCTGCACATCAATTCAATCAGTAACTACACATACAAGCTACGTGATGTCCGCAATAGCTAACTAACAGAAAAGGACGGGAAGGGTGGGAAGGAGATTCGGCTGCACGCACCAGCACCTGGAGGGCCCATCAAAATCATCCGCACAGATTCCGCGACGGACTTAGGCTTCGACGAGTCACCACCATGGAGTAATCGATGTTCCAATTGAGCCACCCGCGACTCGAGTTCGCCAATGATGTTCTTGAGGCTGTCGATGGTCTCATCCTTGATGGGAGCCATGATGTGAGGAATGAGACTGAACGGAAGATGAAGATGAAGCCAATCCTAACCAAGGTTCCGCTAGTCACTTGTTTAACAAAGGAAACGGAGGAAGAGGGGAGAGGGAGAGGGAGAGGGAGAGGGAGAAAGAAGAAAAGACTGTTTTTTCGGGTTGGATGGTGGGGAAAAGTGTTTTTTTTTTTTTTTTTCAAGTATGCGGCGACAGGAGGTTGTCCGGAGGTGGTAATTTAAACAGACGAAAGATGAAGGTCGAAGCCAAGAAATTTGTGATGGGGGGGACCCAAGCTCCCGCCCGGCCGAGGTGCGTGAGGGCTGCGTGGTTTAGTTGTTTACCGTGAAGAGTCGTGCAGATTGTCTATACTATGAGTCCAAACTGGCAGCCAGTCCCAACTACGTAAAAGCCCCTAGGGAACACCACGCAAGCCGCGAACTGGAATAGGAACTCGGTGTCTCCACAGCAGCCAGCTTAACTTATTATTGCCGAAGATCTTTTTTGTCTCTTCGTGAGCTCCAGTGTTTTGGCTTTCCAGGCTTTACCCGAAGACGAAGCCGTCATATATTCCATACAAGCTTAAACTCTAGCAGGGTTATATTTTTCTATATAGACACTGTACCCTTTTTAAGCTCAACAATATTTTCCTCCATCGTAGCATTCATCTTCAATCTTCACAATACTTACTCCGTATGCAAGGTGGCCTGAACGATTATTATTATTATTATTATTATTACTTATTTAACGCCTGGAGGCACGTGATCAGCTGACTAAGAATAGTCTGCTGTCGCGGCCACAGCACCTCCCTAAGGGTATCAGGCGTGCCAGCGCAGCAGCTAGTCTGCTGTCTGACATGTCTAGTCAGCTGAAGCCCTCTTGAGAGTCTATGTACAGAGTAGCCCCCATCCTGGAGGTTCTGAATGGTGTAGTAGCTGAAGATTACAGGACTGAGGAAGCCAAGAGCTTCTAGAGTGGTGTGTAGAGGTGATGAGAAATGTATATAAGAAGCATAGAAAAGAGAGAGGGGGAGAGAGAAGTTGAATGTTGAACAGATTCTAGTAGCAGCATTGAATATTAATGAAGAAGTGGGTATTAGTGCATCAGATAGAGAAGGTCATAGCTTCTCTTACTGTGCTGAGAAGTCAGTCAATTGCTTTCTTTAATTCTCAGCATGCTTCAGAGATTTTAATTCATTCAATGTTTCAGTCTTTTCAGTAAAAGAAGAAGTGCTCAGAGGTCTTATCTCAGCTGCAAGAGCAGATGAGAAGTGCATTGTCATGTGCTCATCTGTGATGATAGACTGTAAAGTCACTGTGATCTGTTCTAGCTGCCAGCAAGTGACCTAGATTTCTTCAGAGAAGAGTGAGCTCAGAGAAGAGTTCTTTTGACATTGAAATATTGAGGTTCTTGTATCATGATGTGCTATTGAAGCTTCAGTATTGTTGCAGTGAGGCATTGAAGCATTCTTTAGCATAGAATTTGACTCACATCAGGGTCAGAGTGTGGTGAGTGCATTTCATTGTGCAGGCTGACTTGGCCACAGCATCTGCAGCATCATTGTCTGAAATTTCAGCATGGCTGAAGCATCATCAAACATAGATCTGTCTTGAACTGGCTGGACCTGGGCTCTGTTTTGTCCAGAATCTGTGAAGTTCATTGAACTTAGCAAAGACAAGAAAAGATGTTTGTGTGAGTGTGTCTGTGTGAAGTCTTATTGCAGTCTCTTCATTGTCTAGAGTCACTATAATGTGTCATGCAAACATAGAGAAGGGGTTCTGTAGCACTGTCTCAAGATTAGCAACTGCTGCAAGCACTTCAGCATCAAAGACCTCAGCAGTGCAGTTCAGAGGCAGCTTATCAAGCTTCAGAGATTGATTTGTTTCTTGATATAGACAGTAGTCTTCATCTGAAACTTCTTGACTGTCTTTGAAGCCATCAGTATATGTGATGAGATTGAGAGAGGATACAGCTTTCTGAAGTCAGTTTTGAAAAGCTGCTGATTCTGCAGCTTGTTTCACAGTCTCAATTTCTAGTGTCTTTTGCTCTTTATTTGATATGTCAGAATTGTCTCAAGAAGACAGAGACTCTGAATCAGATGTGATGGCTGTCATTTTAATGTTTTGTCTAATTCATTTAAAATGTGAGATGTATCATCTTTGATGTAGAGAATGTGATGAGTTGACTGCAGCTATGTGAACAGCTAGTTAGTCATGTATTCTTTCTAGCCAGGCTTTGACTGAGCCTCAGCTTGATTCATGTAGGAGAACAGAGATAGACATTGTGGCAAAAACAGATAGAATGACTTGAGCAGTGTTGTTGAAGACTGTCTGAATCTTGTCAATGACTGTCTGAGAGGTTCACTTTGAGAACCAGATCTCAGCTTCATAAAACAGAGTGCTGAAGGCATAGCTTTGAGTTGCTTGTCTGAGCAAATGTGTTTGATTTCTGAATGAGACTTCATTTAGTGATTTAATGTGTTCTGTAGCAATTCTGACTTGAGTGCATACAAGATGAATATGTTCTCTGAAGAGTAACTTTCTGTCAAAGAAAATCTCTAGTCATCTGATGTAGTTATTGAGAGAAATTGTCTGTTCATTAAAGAAGATGAAGGGCTTCAAGTACTTGATCTTTTTATGAAAGTATTGAAGCTCTGTCTTGACTGGGTCAAATGAGATTCCATTGTCAATATCTCATTTCAGAGTGTGATTGAGAGAATTCTGAAGCTGACTTCCTATCTGCTCAAGGGAGCTTTTAGTCTTCAGGATTGCAATGTCATCTGCATACCCAAATCAGTCTTTGATAAGCTGGAGGAGGGGTTCTACATAGAGCAGAAAAAGAATTGATGAGATGAGAGATCTCTGTGAAAGGTCACAGAGAATCTGAAACATCTTCAATTGAACATCATTTAGTTGAATCAAAGCTAGTTGTTGATTGAGAAAAGATGCTACTCACTTTATCAGAACTGCCAGCCAGCTCTGTTTCTGTAGATGTCTTAAAAGTCAGTCTTGAAGAACTCTGTTGAAGATCTCTTTGACATTTAGAGTGATCATGCCAGTCAGAAGATGTTTGTCCCATGCCTCTTGTACATCACAGACTAGTGCAGTGATGAGATCTACTGCAGACCTCTGTTGAACAGCACTACACTGATCTTCTGCTAGAATGTGATGATGAAGAGTGAGATGAGACATTCATCTAGCTATCAGACACTCCAGTCCTTTGCTGAGACAGAATAGCAGTGCAATTGAATGATAAGACTTTGATAGAGAGTAATCTCTTTTCTCTGACTTTGAAATAATCATCACCTCAGTCTTCTTGAAGCTCTGGAGGTGGATTCCTTGATCTATACAGTGTTGAAAGAGTAGAACAATTCAATTGCCTATCACTGACCATGTCTTTTGAAGAATCTTGACTGTAATGCCATCCAGATCAGAAGATGTGCTAAGTGTCTGGCAGATGACTCTGTAGACTTTCTGCTCTGTAAGAGGCATTCAGAATATCTCTCTGCATGGAATTGTTGATGTATGCTCTGGGATATCTTTCACATCAAGATGTCTGACCAGAAGTGTTTCACATAGTAGAGAAGATTTGCCAGCACAAGATTGTTCTAGATGTCCATCAGAATGTTGTAAAGAAGAAGTGAGGTTTTGAGATTGATATTTATGCCATTTGACAATCTTGTAGACATCTGATAAGGAGAAAGCCTTCTCAATTCACTGATGATTCCATGCTCTCTTAGCTTTTCTAATTTCTGTCTGAAATGTCACTTGTTCTGATTGACAAGAGCTGTGTCTACATGCTGCATGATATACTCTTCTGGCTATCTTGACTGCTGGGGTCCACCATGGAGCATGATGACTCTTGAGTCCTGAGATGAGAGAGCAGGAGCCTTGTAGAGCCAGTTGAAGAGATTTCATGATGTCTGCTGCTTTCTCATTCACATTCTCATAGATCAGTGAGGAGAAGAAAGTGAGTAATTGCAAGAAGTGATCAGCATCACAGATCATGAGACTAAGCTTCTTCTTCTTAATCAATTGAGTCTGAGTCTGTGATAATTGAACTGTTGTGATAAGAGTTTCATGATCTGAGATGCAGTGCAGTTCAGAAGCAATATGACAAATAGCTGAGTTGGCAGTACAGAAGACAAGATCAAGTGTGTCTTCTTGTCTATGTGTAAAGAATTCAGCTGGGTTGAGAAGCTGAAGTTCAAGAGAGATTGCTCAGTTATACAGATTCTTTTCTGCTTGAGAATGTCTATCAGTTGTAGAGTCTCATGCTGTGTGTCTAATATTAAAGTCTTCTAATGTCATCCAGAGGATGGTCTCTGTGGTGTGTGTAAGAGAGAGGAGGTCTTGAAGGCTTTGACCTGCATCTGTGACATCAGATGAGATGTTGTATATGTTATAGATATTAACTTTTTTGAAGTTAGAGATCTTAACTGAGACACAGACAACATTTCTTGAGATATCTGCTATAGATTGAGTTGATGCAAGAGCTCTTTCATTTCTGACATAGAGCAGTACTCTGAGCCTCTTGATCCAGTTGAAGAAGAGTGAGATGAAGTGTTTGTATGAGAGATGACTTTTGAAGAGGTGGGTGAAGAGATCTGTAGCTATTCAGAGTTTCTGAATGACCACAATGTTGCAGACTCTTTCATCTGCTAGTGAGAGAGTGATGTCATGAAAGTTTGACTGTCTTTCTACATTGACTTGATATACAGTGAGTGTAGATTTGTGAGAAGAGCTGTGACTGCTCTTCATTAATGAAGGTTCAGACTTGATGTGATCTTGATGTCTGTTTGAGAGCAGGTTATTGAGTCTGTCTGATTGCTCTGAGAGCTAGTGACTGATGTCAGCAGAGCTGAGAGAGAAGATGAGATGAAGTCTCTAGAGTTTAGCTCTGAATTGCTCTTCTTCACTGAAGTTTGATGAGCTGAAATGAATGCTCTTCTGTCAGCTTTGTGTATTGAGTGTAGCTGATGGTGAGAGATGTGTTCTATACATTTAAAGACTATTTTGAGCCTCACTGGACAGTCAGTGCTGAGAGTGAGATGAAGGTCAAGACAGTTGCAGCAGTGAGCTGATGTTTGACATCTGTCTGAGTGTGCAGAACTGCTGCACTTCTTGCAACATAGAGATCACACACAGTTTCTTTCTGTGTGGAAGCTGTGACATCTTGTGCAAATTGAGATCTTTGACAATTTTTTGATTTTGTTAACCATCACTGAGTGACTGAAAAAATGAAGTTTGTTTGAAAAAAGATGCACTTCAGAGATTCATACTTCAACTCAGATGTACTCTTCATGCAGATTGAGGTTCATGGACTTCTTTGTTCAGTGACAACAGATGATTGAAGTCTGATGAACAGCATTTCAAATCTCAGAAAGAAGCATCTCTTCTGACACTGAAATCAGAGTGATATTCTGTTCTTCAAAGCTGTGTGTCAACTTCTTGATTGAACTGACTACAAAGATGATTCAGAATTTCTGTCACTCAATAAAATAGTCATCTACAGCAGCTTTCAGCTTATCTGCATGTTCAAGAATGAAGACTGTCTTTGCTGGGGAGGGGGCAGCCACAGTGATTTCTGATAAACAGTGTCATACATCAGTGATTCAGATCAGATCAGAGATCATGACATGTACTTGTTCACAAATAGCTTGAGAGTCTAGGTCACAAGCAGTGTGTGCTGCAGATAGTTTAATCATGACTCATTTGTCTTTCTGTTCTTGATGCAGAGAGCAGTTGACTCACTGTATCTGCTTCTTGTGAGATTGTCCCATTGCTGAAATGATTTGAGAGAGATTGTTTGAGAGAATTGCCTTAGCTGTTGCAGCAGTAGCATACATCTATGTAGACTTTGATTCAGTGATGAGGTCTTTAATGACTTTGACTATGCTGTGTCCCATGGCTTGCCTTAGTACAGCAGTCTGACATGATAGAGAGTTCTCATAAGTGCAGAGTATCAGGTCCAGTACTGCAGATAGCTTATTGCATAGCTCAAGCACTGCAGCTAGCTCTGCAGAGAAGAAGTTGTTGACATGACTCAGCAGAGCATTGAGCTTATAATTCACTGTGGAAGAGGAGTTCTTCATGGTTAGCAGGACTGCTTGAGTGCAGTCAGTCACATTCTCAATGGATTCTCCTCCTGGTGAGAGGGCCAGGTGGGGATTGAAGTTGATATTGATTTGATGTAGTTGAGCTGTGGTGGCTGTTGTAGTGTCTGATGCATCCTGGGATGTGGTGTTTTGGGGCTGGGAGGGGTCATCTGGGGGTTTTAGCAGAGCAGAGGAGATTGTGTGGGCTCTCTTCTTTTTAGAGTGAAGAGGAGCCTTGGTGATAGCAATGTTGCTGTTGTTTTGGCTCATCGCGGTGAAACTGGTGGCCTGAACAATGAATCTGCAGAAAATGTTGGGAGGAGAGTGATAACCACGTGATTTAGGCGGACTAGCCGCTTGGTGCTCACCAGCCACATAGAGTCCAGCCACTCCCTCACACGCAGATGAGCTTTGCTCTTGCTTAGTCATTCCTACAGCCAGTTTATTGGTTGATTGCCATCAAAAGAGCTACAAGCGACAAAACATCACTGCACGCAGTTTGATCCCCCTCCTGCGACTATCTTCGGCTCCGTTTCTCTTGCGGCCGGTCTACCTATATACTCCTCTCATAGCCAGCATGCCGGCAACCACCGCAGACACCTTGTCGCTGGTGACACGTACTGTCTCCGTCGCTCCATTAGTCCTCCTCTCAGTAGCAGACCACTACGGACGGTCAGCAAAGGGAACGAGAAGGCGAGTAGTCGGCGTGCTGCTGGGCCAGAATGATGGCAAGAATGTCAGAGTGTCAAACAGCTTCGCTGGTAAATTTAGATCTATAAACCCTGCGCTTTCCATTGTAGAAATATCTTCTGGGATAGCTAACACATTATGCGACTCCCTCTTAGTGCCCTTCGAGGAGGACGACAAGGACCCGTCCGTCTGGTTCTTAGATCACAATTTTGTAGAGTCGATGAATGATATGTTTAAGAAGATTAATGCTCGTGAGAAGCTTATAGGGTGGTACCATTCCGGCCCTAAGCTGAGAGCGGCTGATCTGGAGATCAATGAACTTTTCAAAAGATACACTCCAAACCCCTTACTAGTCATTATTGACGTACAGCCAAAGGAGGTTGGCGTCCCTACCGATGCCTACTTTGCTGTTGAGGAGATTAAAGATGTGCGCACCTATTTAGGCATAACCCTCCCCGGGTTCTATTAAGAGCTTTATTTTCTAACTTCGCAATCCGATCACCTAGGACGGAACTACTACATCAAAAACCTTTGTCCATACCCCCTCCATAATTGAAGCAGAAGAAGCAGAAGAGATCGGTGTCGAGCACCTCCTGAGGGATATAAGGGACGTTGCCGTCGGCACTCTTTCCACCCGGATAACATCCCAACTACAATCGTTACAAGGCCTCCACCTACGCCTCCGCGATATTGGTCAATATCTACAAAAAGTACTCGACGGCGACCTACCCGTGAATCACGCCATTCTTGGAAATCTCCAGGACGTTTTTAATCTCTTACCAAATCTTTCTACGCCCAAATCTAGTGCGAACGCCCCAGTGAATGGAACGGAGCAGTCGCAAACTGAGAACACGGAAGTTGCACGTGCAATGAGCATTAAGACCAACGACCAGCTTATGGCTATATATCTGAGCAGCTTGATCAGGGCCATCACTGCTTTCCATGACCTTATCGACAACAAGATTCAGAATCGTCAGCAGCTGGAGGAGCAGGAGGCGAAGAAGGAGGAGGAGAAGAATGGCTCGATGAATAACAGTATCAATGGCAACAACAATGGTAAGAAATCCAAATCGCCTACCGGCAACGATTCCAAAGAGGAGCAAGACGGCTCGAAGGAAAAGGGGAAAAAGAAAGGGTGAATTTTTGATTCTTGGCTGTGTCTTCTTCTACCCGTTTACGTTTTTCTCTTTTCCTCTTCGATCTAACCCCTCTACCTATGCCCCTATCCACCTTACCTAGCGTTTTGTTCCATGGCTTTACGGTGTTGTTAGCCAGCATATATTTGTAAAATACACGCCATGAAAATCAGATTCGTCTCTTTTAATTTTGTATTTTGTTGGCTGGGTGAAGCATCTATATCTACACCTCATGAATTCAGGAACCAGGGATTCTACAAAAGAGGTCGGGGTGACCATAGATGTCCCCCTTTATTACAAAGAAATCTTGCAAGCAGGTCAATGTCCCTCTACAAAACGTAGTCTGCGATAGTGGTGTAATTGATTCCGTGGCAGGCAGGCAACAGGAGTGTGGAGTGTCGAAGATGACCAACTGGATTGCTTCTCCGGTTAAAACAGAGGTTGCCGGATAACAATCCTCAGTCATCAACTTCATCAAAACTAGTTATTAACTTCCCATTTCGAAACCGTCGCTGCTCTCTAGATAGATGGCTTCTAAGTACGATGACGATACATGTACAGGAGGAGTAAGCCGTACTTAACACCCTCTTTCTCTCTCAGCTATTAATCACCAGATGCCCCCTGCTTCCCTTCCCTCTCCTCCCATCTCCATACCGTTTGCAGACTACAAACAAAGCCTCAGTTAAGATTTTGTCTTCAACCTGAAACATCTTTCAATCCCCCCCAAAGCAGTCTCTAGCCTGCCGCGAACCTCCCAGCCATCTCCTTCTCATCATCAACAACTACCTCCTCGACACCTCCTCCAAACAACCCTGGACACTGGCTCCCAAGTAGACATGCAAGTAAATGCTTACACACGGGCGTCCCGCCATCCATCATCTTCATTGTGCCCTTGACCAAAGTGCCACCAAATGGGAATGGACCGGCATTGTCAACTGGAGAAAATCCTACGTCTTCGTCTTCATTGTCACTGCCTTGATTTTGACTTTCAACTGAAGAATTGAATAGAGGAGGAACGGGAGCAGCATTCCGTATCCTATCTTCGCCAACCCATCTTTCTCCTTCAGAAGCACCCTGGGAAGAAGATCCCAAGGGTCGAAATGCAGCTAGCGTAAAGGCCGGGCAAGAGCAGTTCCAGGCATTTAGGCAGACAATATGTGACTTTTCATAATTGGTATTTCCTCTTGTTGTGTTCATTGCATAATAAGAAGCCACAGAAGCAGAGGTTGGAGACGAAGATGTAGATGAACGGATGAAGTAAACTCCCGTGTCATTTCTACCATGCTGCTGCTGCTGTTGTTGTCGCGCAGCATCTGCTGCCAACTTGTAATCATATCTCCTAATAATCTTGCGATCTAGGATATCCAAGGCGAGCAGCAGCTCATTGGGGAAGAGACAGTGAAGCGTTAGGAGCAGGGGTTTTACTTTTGATAGCTGGAGACCGGGGAGTTGGGTGAATGGGTTATTATTTGCGCCTGTTGCTGAAGTGGGAGATGTTGGTCCGGGGTATTGATATTGATCATGCTGGTCATCGTTGCGGTCTTCTGTTGCAGCAGCTGTCGGTGGTGGTGGATGGAATTGGGATAAACGATGGATGATTGAGGTGATGAATTGGGAGGATGACGGAAGAGGCGCCTCCATAGTTTTCATTGGGTTGAGATATTCACAATTGTCTTGGAGATGTTTCCTTGGTTCATGGTATCTCGCTAGCTAGCTTGGGTGCTGCTATAATAGTGTTTTGAATAGTTAATGCATAGTTAAATATCTATGGTTACGGAAATGCTGGTCTTGATACAAAAGTTCAACTTCATGTTCAAACCCTGACAGGACGCCAAAACGAGAAGAAAAACAATAAAAATAAAAGAGAGAGAGGAGAAAGAGAAACACGCTTTGGGAAATCCTTCTTTTCCTTCTTTTTCTCAAATTTAGTAAACACATTCATTTCTATATATTCTATCCATCAATAGAAGGCTACTCGTACAGATAATATAGACAGGGTAGACTTCGAAAATTCACATTTCCTCGCCAGAGCCGAAAAGAAAAGAAAGATGACGAAAGGGAAAAGCTTTCACTATTTAGCAATATATGTAGTTATGCCGGGTATAGGCAACGAAAGGATAGAATGATACCACCAAAATCATTAACTCGTGAGGTAGATCTAACCTCTATATATATCTTCCTTTAAACGGGTTGACCAGCAAACCAATCTACGGAAGACGGCGACCATTGTTGCCGAATACACAACTGTAGGAAAGATGCACCAAAATATAAGTGTTTTAGATCACTAGTTGTTGTATCTTAGCTTTTGGGTAGAGGGAGATTTCGGCACGTCGCAATCACTTTATCGCAGCTTTTTAAACTCGCAGCCACGGTCTCCGGGTTCGTCCGTGGGCAAAAGGCGTTTAACAGCCATATCCAATCTGCCCTGAAGAGTCCCAGTCAGAGCCATATTGCCCATGGTAATATTCACCCACATTTGCGCTGGCTGTTCCGTCGTCGATTTGGACCTAGGTGTAGAAACACCGGCTTTTTCAGAGAGTGTTTGGGAAAAGAAATCATAAAAACGTGATGCTAGTGCTGAATGGTCATCTTCACCTTCTTGCGTTACTCCTGGAGAAGTTTTGCTGGCGTGTAGTTGACTGGCTTTCTCAGTGCCTGATGCTTGTGGCTCTGAATATATCCTGGAGTAAAAAAATACATATGGAGTCTCATTCCATCCATGAGAGCCATCTGCGATATCGTTGAATTGGATTTTTGTCACCTTTTCGTCATCAATCTTAGACCATACTCCATTGGGTTGTTTCGCAAAGGTGATGTAGTGGCCTTCTTCAACAGCCAGACCCAAATGGAATATAACTGAAACGAGCTGATATCGAAGTCCTTCCCCGGTATTATCGCCGGTGTTATCATAATGACTTGTGAGATCTAGCTCTTCTCCGAACGTCAGGTTGGTGAAAACTTTCATAGATTTGTTATCTATTACCTTGAATCGATCAACTTGTACAATGAGAATTTCGGGTGCCCTCCTAATACGGGCTGTGTCGGCAGGAGATAGGGCGATGTGGCATGTTGTACAGACCCTATCCAACAAGGCCTCGTTTTCTAGGTATGTGGCGATTCCCTCTTCGATTCTTCTGGTTTGCGCCATTAATGGTGGTGGAATGGCGTACAGTATGTTCGACGTCCGAGTCTCCGAGTCACATTTTGGTGCCGTACAGCCCAGGCAAGTTCGAGTAAGTAACAGCGAGGTCCGAAACATCTGTTCGAAGTACTTTTTCTCTCTATAACGATCTCAGTCAGACTTTAACCGGACTATTAAACTTCGCCATAAACTAACCTCTTATTTCCGTGTTCTTCTCGCTCGGCTGCTAAGCTGCCTATCAAGTAGGTTAAAAATTCTACAACGTCTTCCTGTTGAGGAATGATATCTTCACCCTGCTGCTCTGGGAAACCCCATTGTAATTTCAACAAATGCTTATTCCAAAGTGTGGTCATATGCGAATTTAGAGTATCCGCCTGTATAGTGTTCGACCAGTACAACTTGGAATACATATCCCAACTGAAAGCTAGGCAATCCGGGTTAGCTTCATTGCCAGAGATACATCGGCGGGCCCGTAGCCAATTCACGAACACGGGGGAATGCAGCAGCGATATAAAGGCGCTATTGCGATAACAGAGGACATTATTTTCATTTGGCATTCCTCTCGATAGTAACGACATATACTCCCGGTTCCACTTGAACTAAATTATCAGCAGCTGTCTCAAAAACTAATCGGAGTAGACAGGGTAAATGAAGAAAATTCTTAAAATTTTACCTGTCTGCTATGCGATACTGCTTCTTTATTCCCCGAGACATTGGATTTTTCGGGGGCTTCTACACCCAAATCCACCGCGCCGTTATACGTAGCTGCCTCCTCATTCCCTGATGTAGCATGGCTTTTCCCTTTACGACTCATGTTGTGCAACCTAGAAGAACGATTTTTGAAGCAATATTTGTATTCCGTAAAATTGTAAATGTCCAAATCGGCGAATCGATGATAGACATCAAAGACAACAGAGACAACAGAAGACAGTCTCGGCCGGTATATTTTGTCAAAGAAGAAGAAAATTTGCCCAACGAAGATAGGAGAAGCTCCCTGAAATGCAGCACCCACCATTGCAATTGCTTTCTCTCTTTTATCTTTCATTCTTATAGCTCTTATAGAGCTAATTTAAAAAGTAGATGTTTTAAAAGAAAACATCATAGAAAGCCCTCATAACCCCTTCACCTATAATGAAAAAGGTATTTCGTAAACAAAAAGAAATGAATTGCTCCATCCTGTACTCCACATGGCATCTAACAAAAAGACGAATTCCTTTGTAAACATGAAGCTCGTAGCTGGAATGAATAGCCTTTATCAGTCTCGTTTCAACCATTGTATTCTGAGAAGAAAAGAACAAAAAAAAAACCCTAACAAGTACAAGCTGTGTTGACTGTGAGAATAGTCCAGTCTCCCAACAATGAGCATATACAGAAACCGTAATGAATTGAGATATACCAAAGAGCGTTGCTGGAGATAGATCGATGATATGAATCGGTTTCGCAGGGGCAGGGTAATAATCGAAGGGTTTCCAGGAATAAGGAGAACATCTCTGCTTAGTCATCAGAACTTTGATAAGTAACTTAACTTCTCCCCCTCTGATGCCCCAACCAGTTGACGTCTAAACCAGCTGGAAACAAGAAACAATGACTCACCGTCCCATGTCATAGCAAAGAGGGCTTTCTCGTTCGCGCGGTGGTCTCGTAAGTGGCCGGCTTCCCCTTTGACTGGGATTTTGGACTACAATTCCTAAACCTTCTCTCACCATGGTGGAACTGCCGGACCCCACCATTGACCTGGACTGGACCGGTTATGTCGGTTCAATCCAGTCGCATTTTGTCGAGAACGCAAAAAAATATCCAGACCGAGTATGCGTGGTGGAAACGAAATCGTCCGAAGGTCCTGAGAGGAGGTTCAACTACAGACAGATCTACGAGGCAGCTAATACTCTGGCTCACTACCTCCACGATGCAGGAGTCACCAATGGGGATGTCGTTATGATCTGGGCCCACCGCTCTGTTGACTTGGTTGTGAGCATCATGGGCACTCTGGTATGGCTTACTGTTTTTTGGTAGCTCATTGTAATGGTGGTGTTCAGTCAGTTGATGCTAATATGCTCATAGATGTCTGCCGCAACGATGAGTATCCTTGATCCCGCCTACCCACCGGCAAGGCAGCAGATATATCTGGAGGTTTCCCAGCCTTGCGCCTTGGTTAACATTGCAAGGGCAACGGATGAGGCTGGTCCTTTAGCCCCAATTGTGCGAAAGTATATTGATGAAGAGCTCAAACTGAAGGCTGAGGTCCCTTCCCTGCGTATCCATGACAATGGCTTTTTGTCCGGGGGCGAGATTGACGGCACAGATATCTTTGCCCAGGTCAGAGCGAAGGCTTCTTCACCTCCAGATACTCTTGTGGGGCCTGACAGTAACCCCACGCTCTCCTTCACTTCTGGTAGTGAAGGAAAACCGAAAGGTGTACTCGGGCGTCATTTCAGTTTGGCCAAGTACTTTGACTGGATGGCCGAGAGATTTGAACTTACTTCAGAGAGCAGATTTACTCTCTTGTCCGGAATTGCGCATGATCCTGTTCAACGAGATATTTTCACTCCCCTATTTCTTGGTGCACAGTTATTGGTTCCCTCCAAGGAGGATATCCAACATGAGAGGCTTGCGGAATGGATGGCCGAACACAAGCCCACAGTTACTCATTTAACACCGGCTATGGGTCAGATTCTTGTTGGAGGCGCATCCGCCAAATTTCCCTCCTTGGATAGGGCGTTCTTTGTTGGCGACGTTTTGACTACGAGAGACTGTAGGAGTCTTAGGGAACTTGCCGTTAACGTCAACATTGTTAACATGTATGGAACCACTGAAACTCAGCGAGCAGTAAGCTACTATGAAATACCCAGTCGCGCAAAGGATCCCAATTTCTTGGACAAACTCAAGGATACTGTGCCAGCTGGGAAGGGAATGAAGGATGTACAGCTCTTAACCGTCAATCGAGAAGATCGAACCAAGTTATGCAAGATTGGAGAAGTGGGAGAGATTTACGTCCGCGCTGCTGGCCTTGCTGAGGGTTACAAAGGGGATAAGGCGTTGAACGACCAAAAGTTTCTGATGAATTGGTTTGTGGACAACGAGAAATGGGTCGAAGCTGACAAGAAGAATGACAAAGGTGAGCCGTGGAGGAAGTACTATAAGGGACCTCGAGACAGACTTTATCGGACTGGTGACCTTGGGAGATACTTGGAGACAGGAGATGTGGAATGTACAGGTCGCGCAGATGACCAGGTCAAGATCCGAGGCTTCCGAATCGAGCTCAATGACATTGACAATAATTTGCGCCAACACCCTTTAATCAGAGACTGCAAGACTCTTGTCCGGAGAGATATATATGAGGAGCAAACGCTCGCTAGTTACATTGTCCCGGAACTGAAGGAGTGGCCCCAATGGCTCAAAAGTCGAGACCTCGAGGATATTGAGGATGAAGGGACTGATATTGGCTCTGCAATTATCTATTCCAAGCGCTTTAGGCGAATGCAAACTGAAGTAAGGGATCATTTGAAAGGACGTTTACCCAGCTACGCGGTTCCGACAATATTTATTTTCCTTAACAAGTTACCCCTTAATCCGAATGGGAAAGTCGATAAGCAGAAACTCCCGTTACCTGATATTGTAGAACAGGCCGAGCCTGCTTCCTCTGAGGATTTGAAGAGATGGGAGTCGATGTCTGAAACGGAGCGAACTGTTGCTACCAAGTGGGCTGGACTTATTCGTGGACTTAACGCAAAGACCATTATCCCTGAGAACGACTTCTTCGATCTTGGAGGCCACAGCATCCTGGCCCAACAAATGTTGCTAACCATCCGCAAAGAGCTCGGGGTGAATGTTTCAATAAACACTTTTTACGAACATCCAAACTTAGGAGGATTTAGTGCCCAAGTTGATAAACAACTCAGCTTAAAGAATGGCGTCGTGGAAAGCGGTGGCGCCACGGAAGCAGATAAGCATTCCTCATATTCCCAGTCTCTAGACGAGCTTCTCAAGAAACTACCTGATACATACCAAACGGCTGATCCAGAAATCATTCGCAACTCGCCACATCTCACTGTCTTCCTTACTGGTGCGACTGGCTTCTTGGGCTCCTACATTATCAAGGACATTATGGAGAGAACCAGTCCTGCTATCAATCTCATTGTCCACATGAGAGGTGTAAAGGATTTAAAAGCTGCACTCTATCGACTTCGACGGTCCCTACAGGGCTACGGCCTATGGCAAGAGGAGTGGGCAAGTCGACTGAGCTTCGTCGTCGGCGACTTGTCAAAACCGCAATTCGGTATTCACCAGCAAGCTTGGCAGAGGCTAGCCCAGGAAGTCGATTTAGTGATCCACAATGGTGCTTTAGTCCATTGGGTTCGGAGATACAACGACATGATGGCCGCAAACGTCCTTTCAACACTCGACGCCATGAGGCTTTGCAACGAAGGAAAACCGAAGATTTTCACCTTTGTGAGTTCCACCAGTGTCCTTGACACTGACCACTATGTCAAACTCTCAGATCAGCGGCTGAGCACTGGCCGAGGTTCCATATCAGAAGATGATGATCTGGAGGGCAGCCGAACCGGTCTTGGAACCGGCTACGGACAGACAAAGTGGGTGTCTGAGCAACTCGTCCGTGCAGCCAGTAAAAGGGGCCTGCTCGGTTCTGTGATTCGACCCGGATACATCTTAGGTGATACAGAGACAGGAGTCTGTAATACCGATGACTTCTTGATCCGTATGCTGAAAGGCTGTATTCAATTATCAAGCCGACCACACATCGTCAACACTGTAAATTCTGTTCCGGTGAAACATGTCGCCCGAGTGGTTGTGGCTGCGGGCCTCAACCCCCTCCCAGGCGGCGTACACGTCGTCCATGTTACTGGTCACCCCCGCCTACGTATGAACGAATACCTCTCCTTCCTTGAATTTTATGGCTATAAAGTCCTCGAAGTCGACTATGACATTTGGAAGGATGAGCTCGAGAAATATGTGTCAGCTGGTGGTTCAGAAAAGGATCAGGAACAACACGCCCTGATGCCACTCTACCACTTCTGTGTTAACGATCTACCAGCTACAACTCGAGCTCCCGAACTTGATGACAGAAATGCCGTCAAGATCCTGAAGGCTGATGCAGTGAACTGGACTGGGGTTGATGAAAGTGCCGGTTATGGCATCACAAGGGAGGACGTGGGCAGATACCTAAGCTACCTGGCAGAAATCGGGTTCGTGAGTCGCCCATCGGTCAAAGGGCGGCCACTACCTAAGGTCAATATCAGTGCAGCGCAGCTGGAAGCTGTGGGAGCTGTGGGTGGTCGTGGTAGTGTGCCAAAGTAAATATATGTGTCTTTTGCGTCTCTTATAGAGGGTGGTGGTATGTCCTCTTTTCTATGATGTAGCGAATTCCCTCGACACATCAAATAATTTTTGGGTTATAAAAAAATAGAAATGTTTTTGGTTGGGCCGGTTAAGCACATGCCGTTTATTTTTCCTTTTCCCATTTTCTTATGAGAAGTTAGGGGTTCATTTTTAATTACATAATTTCGTAGTGCTACTTCGCTTGTATCTAATCTGTACCTCAATTCAACAAGTAACTATGATCATCCTGCCATAAAAAATAAACCCGTCCACCCCGGACATCTTCCCCTAAGAAACACTTCTCAAATCTCCTCCATATCCTCATCATCCAACCCAAGATCCAACGGCGGGAAATCACCCACCTCAACTTTCTCTGGCTTCACGAACACGCCTCGCTTTTCCAGGCAGGTAAAATACCTCCTGCCACCAATAGATCCATCATTCTTGCCAGTGGGTTCATCGAGTTCGATGCCGATCCAAAGTGGTCCAGCTGAGGCAGTGATTCTTTCATTATCATCATCTTCATCATCATCATCTTCTTCTTCGTCTTCTCCTGCGGATAATGATAGCGATTTCACAAGCGGGGATGGAATGGTGGGGACGGGACCGATAAAGCGAATTGTCCCACGCCGGATATGGGGAGGGGCGGAGGGGTGGATTATTGCGCGCTTGGAGAGTTCGATACCTGGAACGGATGTCAACAGTTTATACACATAGGCATACGTATATAAAAAAAAACAAGGTTCCCTTTTCGCATCTCTTACTTACCTCTCTGTTGAATCTCTTTCTGGTCTTTCTCCACTTGCTGCTTAAGGATTTCTTCAGGGGAGAGGGCGTTAGGGTCGAAGCGTCCGAGCTTCTGGGATTTCTTCCACGATAGGACGCTGTTGGGACGGGATTCGTAGGTTGAGATTGGGAGGACATATTTTTCTACTGAGGAGAGGTCGCTGAAATCCGGGCGGGCTGCTTGGGGTCGAGTGTCATGGATCTAGTTGAGGGATCAACTTGAGCAAACTGGATATAGGCAAAAGATGGAGAATAATCGTGGCTTTCAGTGAATAAAGGCAGGTACGACAACGCAAGAAAGGAAAGGAAAGGGAAAAACATTGGTTGCGCTGATGATTCGGTTAGAGGTTGAAGCGAGTTTTTCGTCATCCAATTGCAACAAGATGAGCTGTCCTAAGGAGACTGAGATGAAACTTTCTGCTGCTCTGTCCTGACTGGCGATATACTTGTGCAGGACGTAATTTGGCCAGACGGCAACAGAGATGCTGTGGGGATTCATGTGATCACGATCATCTTTAACTCACTCCCCGGAGAGCAATCTAGTAGTGGCTTGTTGGATAGTTACCCATTGTGGTGAGGATGGTTGAGAGATCCCAGTCATGTTATAGGGGCAGCTAGCTCGCCAGCGGATGGGTTGTGCCCACGGTTGTCCCCACCTTTATATATAACAATAACACGTATTGAAATTATAATAAACACGGGAGTAAAATGAAACCAAGAGAATAGATAAACGTCCAAAGAGGCCTCAAAGCTCTTCTTGTGCCGTACATACCTCGAACTCACATCCCCTGCCAAGCCCCCAATCACCAACAATCCGATCATCACCGTCAACCCATTGGTCGTCTTTACCGGGGGCCTTCAGTTTGAGTCTCTGACTGGATGGGGGAATTCCAGTCATAGTTTCTAGTTTCGATTTTAGCTGCGAAACTGTCCATGTTGGCGTTATGCGCCGTTCTGAGGCGAACGATGTCCCAACCTGTGATGGACCACCGCTGGTTGGAGCAACGGATATGATGACGGGGATGTCCATGGGAGTGCGCTGAAACGCCATGTTCAGAGCTTTTCAGATAGTGAAAACCTCTTCTAGAGTCTATGGAAACTGGAGATTGTTTGTCTTGGATAGGTTCTTTTGAACTAAGAATCCGCTGATATCTTGTTACTAGATTCTTGATGTCAGTTCTGTTTCGGGGAGGTGATATCTATTTTCTTGTGAGGGGCTTACTTGTTAAAAGGGAAAATTACAAGATATAGAAATCAAGTCCTCATACTCACGGTGAATTGGTTTCAAGTGAAAAATTGACTACTTGGTGCGAAATACTCCAATTATGCGATGGGCGACCACAGACCAGCCAAGATAGGCTAGTAACTAGTTATAGTTAACCTTGGTCGAACAACTTACTTACGGATTTGATGCAGTTCGCATTTAGGTTCTTCGTATGGCTGAGGGTTAAGGGGGAAAAGGGACTCCGGTTTTTCAGTTGCAATGTCTCTGAAACCGACGGCAGATGGAGAAGTCGATACGACTGCAATCAGGATATTATCACCTACAACTTTTGAGTTTATTATTTAACTAAAGACTTTCAGGTTGGTATAACCTACCATTCGAATAACTACACAGTTACACACAAATAACATCAAATCTGATCATCCTCCATATATTTGGCCCCCGACTGTCTGTAATTACATGCCCAAATTGCCATCAACGGATGCTATGTAAAACATTCCGATAACTAACATTCCGGGATATCGAAACAAGTCCCAACACGTGACAGATCTGGCGTTTAAAGGGCGATCTAAACGCCACAGCCGAAACTTTCATGTCACTCACTGAGTGCATCGATTCTTGCGCGGGGAAATTCTTAACAATCTCATCATCCCGTGATGGTCAAGAAATCCACCGGTTTTCGGTCCGAGTCCTGTATATGTCAAGGGTTAGCAGGAACGGAGTCCCCATCTCTCAGTATCCAATTCTTGGTCAGTTGCTAATTCATTGCTAGGAGCCATGGAAAGCAGTGATGCGGAGAGGTACGAAGAACTGTATGTTCACAATGTCTACCAAGAAATCGCAGACCACTTCTCCTCCACAAGATATAAGGTTTGGCTGATCTTTTCCTTTTGCACCTGGTTCCTGCAACCTCTGTCTCACTGCCGGGTTTTATGTATCTGAGTGTGGCCCAAGCTCACAGAAAGCACCATGGTCCTCCCCTCAGCCTTGGCCAATTGTCGAACGTTTTTTAAAAGAACAGCCTCCCGGCTCGATCGGACTCGATATTGGCTGCGGCAATGGCAAATACCTACCAGTAAACTCCAACGTTTTCATTGTTGCGTCAGACAGGTAAGTCAGAATTGCGGGTGTTCCCGATGATCGTGCCTCCGGCCCATGGGGATCTATCCATATACATATGCGCGTCTGAACATGCAAGGGTCAGATCCGAAGCCTTGGCGCGAATTTCCAGCAGGCATTATCCGCACTCTGTGATTGTCGCTGACAATCTAAATTTGCCGCATCCGGATGGTTTCTTCGACTTCGCCATTTCCATTGCGGTGGTTCATCACCTATCAACTCCTGAACGCAGGGTTAGAGCTGTCCAGTCTATCCTTCAGACACTCAGACCACCTCGCAATGGGCAAGAAGGTGGCAAAGCGTTAATATATGTCTGGGCGCTAGAACAGAAAACCAGTAGAAGGGGGTGGGATGCTGGAGATGACCAGGACGTCATGGTCCCATGGGTGCGACAGAAGAAAAGCATGGATGCTCAATCTGATGAGTCAACCAAGACTTTCCGCCGGTACTATCATTTATATCAATCGCAGGAGCTGGAGAGGGACATTGTCGCAGCCGGTGGCGATGTGTTGGATCACGGCTATGAAAAGGACAACTGGTGGGCAATCGCAAGCATAAAGCCGCTGGATTGAATTGGGACACTCTAAAATGCTACCACTATCTCAAGCATCTGGTCTTGAATGTGGGTACTATGAAAACCTATTGAAACAAAAAAAAAATAACAATAATAACTAATAAAACGGGATATTAAACGTTGTCATCGAAAAGATATAAAAAACGAGAGTGAGAAATGGAGAGGGCCAACCAAACGTGGCTAAAACTACATATGCACAACCCGAAAGACATATATAAAGGAATAAGGAGGAAGAAATCGGGAGCAGGAGAGCAAGAAGATCTTGGGAATAATGGCAATAATGGGAAAGGAAGCAGGGGAATCAAAAAAAAAAAAAAACATGGACAAGGAAAAGAAAGGAAAAATCACAAAAAATCGTGCCTATAAGTCTATCTGTCCCCCAACCATGCTATGCATTCATATTCCGAGACAACCTATTATATTTCACTGCCACGAAAGAAAACTTTTATCTATCTCCTAGACCGGGTTCCTCCTCCTATGCGGGGTTCCTACACGACTCTGTTCTGTAGGCGACTTCGGGGACCTCCTCAAAGGATAATGCTCACGCGACTGACTAGACGCAGCTCCAGCAGAGAGTTCGGCAACAGGAGGAAGTTGCTGACCTTGCACTCCTCGTGTCCCTGCGTCTCGCCTCGATCTCGGCGTTGTCGCTCTGTGTCTGTGTGGCTTCTGAGGTGGTTCTGATGTTGTATTTGAAAGCGAAAACGATTTCACTCCAGCACGTCTAGCCATCTCTTGTTTCCCTAGCTGCCAATGCATCGCTTCAGCTGATCTCCACGAGCGGCCTAAAATATCTGCTATTTTAGTCCACATCTCCCGTCTGAACCTGGATTTTTCTGTAGGTCAATAAACACGCTCGTTTTCGCTTGGGAGGAAGCATCTTTAGCTGCAAGCTTACCTTTCGTACTGCCTAGCCAGCATGTTCTTAAGATCCTCATCCCACTCGCTCCGTGGTTTAAGGTAATTTTGGTAATGAAGACGACAACCAATTGCACTTCGGCCAGGTATCCTGTTGCTGATGTCGTTCCATTTCATTGAACTACCTCGCAGTTCTGTGATCAGAGCATCTTCATCAGCTGACCACTTCGATTGCCTTTTGGCTGGAACTTCCAGTGGCGGGGCTGGCTGTCGTCGTTTTGCTGGTACGGTGGATCCGGCGATTGGGGAAATAGGTAGTCGCGTTTCGATTGCCTTTGGGAGTATTGTTGAGCAGGGAGAGCCTGCAGTTGTTCCTGCTGGGGCTGGCACAACTACAGACTCTGTCACCGGGCTGACTGTTGTATATGTCTCTTTTGCCTCATCTTGAGACAAGAGGAGCGATGAGATATCCACCTTTGCTGTGGGTTCTGTGTCCGGGGGAAAGGCTACGGGGTCCACCGTGGCTGGTAGGAAATAAGGGGGAACTTGCCAGTCGACCTAGCGAGGGCACCTATCTGGCAATAGGAAGGAGGGCAGGGTAGGATGCAAGCAAAAAGGTGTTTAGAAACCTGCGAAACAGTTCTCTGAAAGAAGAAGAGCAAGGTGGCAGAGGATGATGTTCCTACGATGAATATATATACACGCGAGCAAAAGAAGGATTGAATGAACCGAAGCAGTTTGAGCTCAGTGTGCGCTGCAGCCCATCACCCGCGCCACCGCCCTCACACCATGTGGATGTGATGGGAATTGGGCGGAAATGAGGCTAGAGGAACGGTCAGAGGAAATAGGGTAGGGACCAGGGAAGGGAAGCTTTGTCTCCGTCGTGTGGTACAGTACCAATCTGATCTCGAACGGATGGAATACTCCTGACGGAAAAGAAAAAGTGTGCGAGGAGTCGGGGTCGAACTAGTGCTGCCTTATTTTCCGCTTCAAGCTTTCTCGACCAATCGTGGGATACTCAGGATGTCGCAGAATCACTGGTTACCATCTTCCTTCGCTCCACCAACGAACTTCCAATCGTCAGGTCTCGTCCTTTGCTGCTTGCCCTATGGCTGTTTCACTGGTGACAGGGGATAATGATGGCAAAATAGCTGCAGGAAACGATGGGAGAGGGGAGAGAACATGTTCTCTACGATATAGCTAGTGTGTGTGGAGTATGGAAGGAGGAGACACAGAGAACCCGGACGATGAAGATAGGTTAATTCAGCAGCTAACTATCAGGCACGTTGAAAACTGGCTGGCAGCTTAGCCTTCCGCAGCAACTGAAAACACACAATGACATATTAGTGTCAGTCATTGTCTTCATTTATTGGAGCATGCCGTCGACAGGTTTAACCTTGCTTTTTTTTTTTTTTTCTTTAACTCCCTTGGCTTTGCCCTTCCTGCTTTTAGGTTGGCTGGCTTAAGTTCCTTGCACTTCATGCAACCCGAATCCAAGCCCGAGTCTTTTTGCCTTCGACCTGTTTACATTTTACGACCATACACGATGGGCAGTGGTGCAGAATAAAAAAAAAAAAGCAGAGAAAGAACGATTAGGGATAATGCAAAAACCCAAAATAAATTTTTTTTAGGAAGATGAACTGTGGAGCTGCATATAACTCCGTGGTGACACCGTTCATTCAACAGATGTAAGTCTATGCGTGGACTCTCCGAACCTCTATTTAATTTTTAATTGGTTTTACCACCTATATTATTCTGTACTTTTATATTTCTAACTACGTTTCTCTTCAATCGCGACAGCAGAATATTAAATTCAAGATAGAGAATCTAGCCGAGCTCAAGTGAGTCTGTCGGGGAAAATGGATTATGATGAAAAGGGGAACCCTCTGACTGTTCAATCGGAATTTACCAATGGTGCAAATACACAATTCTGTCTCAAAATAGGTCGGGGAGGCGGGGAGGCGGGGAGGCGGGGACGCTGGGGGAGGCGAAGAGGAAGAATGCATGTACAGTACGAACCGTTCAACTGGTCTGGTTGGCTACTTTTTCAGAATAGAGCTGGGAGGAGGCGGAGGAGGCGGAGGAGGATATGTTGTCAACGGTGGAGAACAATAAGATTTGGAGGCTATTAAATAGTCAACTAGTTACGAAAAAGAAAGAAAAGAAAAAGAAAAAGAAAAGAGAGCGAGAGAGCGAGAGAGAGGGAAGAAAGAAAGATCTCGGGCCATTTAGCCATTTGGTATTTTCCTATCAACAAGCTGTAGGAAAGCTTCGTTAACTAACTAACCTTTCAGCCAGTTATGTTTGACATTAATTGCTATCTGTATTCTGTATTCCTACCTGACCTGATTCACATCAGCCACCTGACCGATTTTCTTTGCCTTCCCTGGACAACACGCACACACTCTCGGAGATCTCTCTCTCTCGCCTGGCTCGTGGAAGCATCCCATGCCCGCTCCGTATTGCTATTGCCAGGAGCGCTGCTCTGAGAAATATCGGTCTGGGATTGTATCCCCCTAACCTCCCCTGTGCAGGTTAGCTAGCTATGCAAGATCGCCGGCGAGGTATTTGACCTAAGTTTCTCCCAGGGCTCCTTCATCTTAGCAAACTGCATTTCCTATATTTCGAAACTTCATTGGTTTTAACCTCAAGTCCAGCCTGGCCCCGCCATTATCCTGCGAGAACGGAGTATATATTAATAGATTCGTGAACTCTTACCGCAAGACTCCCAGCCCAAGGCTGCCTAAAACGGAGTCCAAAAGAAACGGTTGAATTGCTTCACCATTCTTGCAGGACTAGGGCCATGCCCATGTCCAATATCCGTACAAATATGTGTTGGAGATACAAGATAACTACACCAATAATTTTGAGCGGTCATTATCCATTCAAGGCCTCCCGGTCACCCTGATCCGCATCTATCCATACCTCACCTCCATGACGTCCACTGTTATCCAATAAGCTATCTGAACCTGAAGCATAAAGCAAGAATGGCCAAGGTACAAGCTGGTTGTCAGAGACGGGAGCTGAAAGTCTGAAGCCTTGGAAGCCCTCCTTCATATCTTACAAACAGGGACCCCAGTTCACGCTGTCCCTGTTGGCTTGTGCAGCATCATCTCATCTTCATGAAATTTGTGGATAGCCTACATGCGGAGTAAAGGACTGTATAGTTGCTTTCTATTTGTAATATTGATACCTATTCACGTTCAGACCTTGGCAATTCTTGAATTTCAGAGTCAACGAGCAGTTAACTAGTTACAAGTATCTTCTGGACATAAAACTAACTGCTGGGTATCAGGCGTCTGAGAACAATCGTCGTGTCTTTGGCCCTTATTTTCAAGATTTTGTTAATTAACTACCCATGCCGAAGCCCAGTCAGGCTTGCTGGACTAAGAAATAATTTTTGTCTCAAAATAAAATCACATGGATATTTTTTTTTTTTAAAAAAAAAAAAAAAAAATCTTATTTATTTATATGAATATCCCTCAGCGTTAGTATGGTAGTTAACCTATTAGGTTATACCCACTATAGTTACGCAGGGAGATGTCTTTATTTTCTTTTCCATCTTAACAAGATCGACCAAAGGGCTAAGAACAAAGAGACCAGTTATTTCAAAGACACCGTATTTCATAGTTATACATATGGCATGCGCTGCGGGGGCCCTCGATCGATCTTCATGGGAGGAGCGCGGGTATAGAAATTTATCAATATCCGCTGGGCTGTTTTGAATAAGAACCCTTTCACCCAATCACCAATTACGAACCGTAACTTGAGCCGTTTCGAGGGATTGATTCTTCCTACTTGTGCTCTCTCCTGCTTTGTGGCGTCCTCTTCTTTCTTGCAAAAAGCACCACCGTATCCTGGAAAAATACAATGTTGCGGTGAAGAAACTTTGGAAACGGCGAACTGGTGATCCTGTCGGTAGCCGTTTAAAAAAAAAAATATCAGGATCAAAGAAAAGAAAAGAAAGAAAAGGAAAGGGAAAAGGGAATGAAGAATAAGTCCAAGAGGGTCAGCTCTATCGTCATATCCTATTTTCAGTCGAGTAGGGGTAATATATTTTTATCGAGTTGAATAACCAAGATCGCGAAAAAATAAAAGGCGGGATGTGTGAAAGAAGTCCTTCAGAAGAGCCTAATTCTTACACACAGGGTCTCTATCAAAGTCCTATTTCCTTTTCCCAGCTCAATTCATTTCCGTGCCTGACTCTACTTTCCGGTGTCCCGCCGTAGCACCAGATATCTAACAGCAAATCATCCATGTAGGTGATTTGTGGGGTTATATATTACTCCTAGACTTTCCATACCCATTGTACGTGACAGGCATCCGACCCAATGTCTTGAGCATATTGCGGTGAACATTTCATTGCTAATTCTGTCAGAGCGCAGTGCGAATTGGCCCCCAAATAAGCAATTGACTGTGAATAAAAGCCTTTTTCTTTCAGTTTAACCGATCAACGTCGTGTGAAAGTTATGTATAATCTCCATGCGGTGAGCAAAAAAGCAGACTCCCTTTGAATGTTACCTCCCTGCCACGATAGACTTACCAAGGGAAGCCCCGTAGAATATTAATCGTGTGTAGCATTACACAATGCAAGGTACCGTGCGACTGGAAGACTCACAAGCATCCCCAGGCGACATAATTCGAGAAAAGGAGGATGAAACAGCAAAACGGTGGTAACTAAAAGCGGATATCGCAAGTTCGATAACCAATCTCACATGAACGAGAAACAGTAGTTAGTTAACTAATTAATCACGAAAAGGTTCCGAGATTGACATCCATGAGCCAGCATGCAATCAATCTTGAGATCAGATAGTTATCAGTTGTAGCCAAGAGAGTTGGAGCCAAAAGTCAAAATGCAGCTCTCGAGCAATCAGTCCTGTTTTCAGAAGCTTAAATATGGGATGTTTGAAAACCTAGCGAACAGATAAATTCTCGTGTCCAGACACGGACACAACATGGGACTGTTTGAAGGTAAGTTTCATGAAGAGAGACCCACGTCGACAGAATCTTAAGACACGATGACGTATCTGCATCCCACTAGAGAGGTGCCATTCAGCGCAAGGGCAGTGCCTGAAGTTTTCCAATTTGCAAAGTACATGTACAGGCACAAGGTTTGAAACAAAAAAAAGGGGGGGGGGCCAAGAAAAAGGATCCGTGTGTTCCTTTGAGGGTGAAGAGAACACAATCGACGCTTAGGAAAATGAATGAATGAAGGAAAGAGGTTTATGCAGCAGGGATTCGAGAAAGGATAGGGTTATGTTGTTAGAACTCGCTTGTCATGAACGCCCGTTCCCGTCACTAACCCATCATCTTGTTCCCCGACTTTGAAGGTTTGGAGCGATATGGGATGAGCATCAACCAGGAGGCGGAGGTCATCAACAACATGCGGCAACATCTGTTGTTTAACTAATTCGGACGCTAGGCGGCAGGGGGATGAAAAAAGTCGACGGGTAAGGAAAAGTGACAGGGTCTGTTTTGGCATGATTGGATCAACAGATCGGGCAGTGGGATCCCGAAAATAAATCAATGACTCTCCACCCATAATCAGTTATGTAGTTCTCTCACAGGCCTGGGGCCTGGATTGGTCACAACATATCCAAAGGCCATGTGGCATGTAACTATCAGATTACCATCCGGTCACAAATTCTTATCTCTTGGTGGGTTGTCATTTAACGCACGAAGGGGTTCATTTCACGTCCCCCTTCCCCCCCCCCTCCCCCAACCCCCTTACATGTCATTGGTTGAATAGGATGAAAAGGAAACTGATGAACGGCGACTGAAACGCCACTTTCACCTTTTTCAATACCCGTGGAAATCCGCAGCAAAATTTCCTTGAAAGCTAAGGACTCTCAGCTCCGGAGTCTGCCAGACCCTTTGCAAACGTCAGAGCAACCCCCGTAAGAACGGAATGCATGCGTGGACACGGAGTACTATGACTGAATGAATGTATGCTGTGGCCGCCAAAGGCGGTGAAGACAACGCAACATTTTTCGAGTAACTAATGATCTCCCGCTTTTATAACCCGGGATGGTTCAATCGCCGAATAGACTTGTGGATTGCGGCAAGCCAATCACCGAATATGCTGAGAATACGGGGAGTCCTGGAATGACATCGGCAACGGGTAGGATTGTGGACAACAATCCTCCAGCAGACGCGAATTTTGTTTGCCCAACTCCCAAAAAAGGGAAAAGGAGGGAGTTCGTCTGCCCAAAATATGTCGTGGTCGATTATTTCGTTAGTAACGCGACAAGAACGGAGTAGTTCTCACTCCATCCCTCAACCTTCATCCCAGGATATCTCGCCGCGCATGCTTAGCAAAATTAAGACTTTCAACCATTGGAAGAGTCGAAATGATAAACACGGAAAAGGGTAGCGCCCCTTGCGCTCCCAACCAGATAACACATATTTGTGACCTAAACAAGATCCCCAAGAAAGATTCCGTTCGGTTTGACGTTAAAACTTTCCAACCGTCCTCGGATATCTCCTGAATGAGACTGAAGGAAACCGGGCGTTGCGGCTGTGTTGACGTTGGGATCGTCTCGAATCCGACCAACCAAGTACAGGATGTAGTTCGTGAATGGAGTTCGGGCGGACAACTCAGACAACAAAGGACGGTTTAGCGTACAGAAGAACTCAGCATTTATCAATTGTTTGCCCTGTAACTATGCATGCTGCTTTTCACATGTCCGAGCACTCGCACTTCAAGATATCATGAAGCGTTCATGCAGCTGACGAACCTCTTCCGGTCTCAGACGCAAAATTGAATGTAAAGGACTTTCACCAGAGAGCACACTGATGTGATGGTTTCTGCAATTCCGATTCCCTCGCAGCTCAAACCATGGAGTGTTAATTATTGGATGACATTAGATGGATGATGTGCCAGCTGCAACCAAATGTCATCAATGTATTTGTCATTTTGTTGACTGTCCCAACCATGACATCATATGTATGTCACAGGTTACTTGGAACTGCTCCCATTTTCATCCCAGTGACAATAGAAATCAATCAGAATGATCATATCCCTTCTTTGATATGCTACCTTACCACCGAGTTTTCAATTTTAATCAATTCTCAGACTTGAATTATTTTGACTTGTCTCAGATTCAATATCTTTATATCTGTAAGAATCCACCTATTCATCAGTTATATTAACTCTTTGAAAGAACTAGTTAAGAAATTAAAAAAAATAAAGTAAATAAATATAATATTTTAAATTTTAATATTTTGTAAATAACTTATTATAAATATAAATTATTTTTTAAAAAATAATATAAAAAAGTTTAAATTTTATAAAGTTATATAATTAAAAAATATTATAAATTAATTATAATATTTAATAATAAATTATTAATTTATTATATAAAAGATTTATTTAAAAATATATATTACTTATTTAAATATTAAATAAATTTTTTTTATATATAATAATATATATATTTATTATTATTATTAATTAATTAATTAATTTAATATTTCTCTTTTAACTTTTTTTTAATATTATTTTTTAATAAATAATTCATTAAAATATGATTTAAATTTTTAATAAAATTAAAAAACTTATATTTATAATAATTTATATAATTTTTAATTTTTTTATATAAAATTTAAAGTAATTATATTCAATTTTTAATTATATTTTAAAAGAAAATATTTTTTTATATTTTATTTATATAGGTTTTTATTTTTATTTTATTTTATATTTTATATATTAAATGTTTTTCTTTTTATAATAAATTTTTTATTTTTTATATAAGATTAAAAGATAATTTTTAATTTTATTTTTTTAAATTTTTTAATATTAAATTTTTAATTAATAATTTTATTAATTATTATAAAAGTTTTTAAATTATAAATAATTTAATATTAAAATTTTAAATTTTTTAAATTTTAGAAAAGTAATTTATTTTTATTATTTTTTAACTTTTAAATATATTTAATTTTTTTTAATTAATACTATTTTAAAAACTTAGTTAATTTTAGAAATTTTAATTTAAAAATATTTTAATTTAAAAACTTTTATTAAAATTAATCAATTTTTAAATTTTTATAAAATTCTAAAAAAATTAAAAAGATAATTAATAAAAATATATTTTTTTTAAAAAAGTAAATATTTATTAATAATTTTCGTTATTTATTTATAATACTTAATTTAAATAATATAAAATTTAAATTAATAAGAGATTAATTAATTTAAAAAATATTCTCAATTTTTTTAAAAACTTTATTAGTTTTAATTTTCTTTCAATCATAATAAGTATCTTCTTATATTACTTTTATTAAAGTTTACTTAAATATGGTAGAAAAAATATCTGTAAAAAAAATAAAAAATATATAATTTAAAATTTCTACATTTAATTTCTTTAGATTATAAATTTAAAATTAGAACTAGCTAAATATAACTAAGAATAAAAATAAATAAAAACTTATTATAATTTAATTAAAAATATAATAATAATAAAATAAAAAATTTTATTTATTTATTTAATTATATAGTTATAATAAGAATATTAAACTAAGAATTAAAATATAAGAATAAATAAATAAATATATATATATAAAATAGTTAAAAATTAAAATAAATTAATGAAAGAAATTAAATATGATTGAAATTAAAATAAATTAATTTTCTTTTATATTATCAATAACTAAACTGTAATATTATCTTTTAATTTAAAAAAATACTTGATCTCAAGTAGCTATATTAGATATAAAAATAACATAAAAAAATTTATTAAATTTATCAATAAATTAATTATTTTAAATATTATTTATCAGATTTTTATATATTTTTATTTATATCTCATTAACATTTAAATCATCATTAGATTTTTATCTTCTCATACTGCTTTTATTAAAGTTTGCCTAGATACAGCAGAAAAGATATCTGTGAAAAGTAAAGAATACATAATTTAAAGTCTCTGCATCTAATCTTTATAGACTACAGATTAAAGATTTGAACTAGCTAAGTATAGCTAAGAATACAGACAAGCTAGAACTAAGTACATCCTTACAAGATATCTCATAGAGTTGAGCTTTAACTAATTCTTTAATAAGCTTAAAAGAGCTCAGTTAAAACTCAGTTAAAATTAATTGAAGCTTTAACTTAATCTGATTAAGTTCTAGTAGAGAAGATATTTTAATAAAATCTGTAGATTTCTTTTAAAATATTGGTTTTTTTCTGATTTATCTTTAAAAAATCAGAAAAATCTTACTTAAATTCATCTTTTTCTTTAGTAAAAGAAAAATTTAAGTATTAAATCTATATTTATTTTGAAAAATTAAGCTGTATACTAGTTATATAAGGAAAATTTCTTCAATATAGATAGAATTAATTAGTTTTTAATGATTTTTCTACATAAAATTGCATTTTTTTTACTAGTTTTTCTATCAAAAATTAGTATTTTTTCTAATTTAATTAAAATTAAAATTATTAATTTTCTACTTTTTCTATATCTTAAGAAATATTTATAAAGATTTGATTAGTTTATCTTAAAAACTGATCTTAGTTTATTAGATTTTCTTGAAAAATCTAGTTTAGTTACTGAACTAGTAGTAAAATCAGAAAGATTTCTATCAAAGTTTATTTAATTAAATATATAAAAACTATAGATAGAAGTTAAAAAATGAAAAAAAACACTTTCTATATTTGAAATAGAGAAAGAAACTTAAAAAAACTCATCAAAAACTCTTTGACTAGAAGATTAAAAAAATAAAAAAAATAAATTGATAAATCAAACTAAATAGCTTAATAATCTAGAACTTGCAGCATCTATTTTAAAAAATTAAATAAATAAAGAGAAAAATTAGAAATTATTAATCTTCTAATTTCAATATCAAAGTAAATTCATTCTCATGCTCAATCTTATAGTTTATCTGTTTTTAAAAGAGTAGTAATTAATTAGAGGCAGTTTTTGAGAAGATGTCATAGAACTTTTTATAGTTCTCTGACAGCATTTCATTAATTATTTCTTTATTTTTTAATTTAATATCATTAATTATCTTTTTTTTTTCAATGATCTAGTCTATTTTACCAAAGCTTGAAATAAAGATCTTTGACATTTCATTTTTCTAGTAGCAGTGGAAAATAACTTCTTTAATAACTATTATTTTTGATAAAATCTTGAAAGTCAGTGTCTTTTTCTCAGTAGTTTTATATCTAATCTTCTTATTGATAAGTTTATTATAATAATTAATATTTTATTGATGCTCTGATCTCATCACTAATCTCTTCAAGATCTTTTTTAAAATTACTATACTGTACTTTTCAAAGATCTGATTTTCAGATGTATATTGTCCTGGTTAGACTAAATGTTGATTCTTTATATTCAGTCATATCTACTACTCTGCTAACCAAGACTAATCTAAGACTATATTAATAATTCTTAGATTTGTTAATAGTATTAACATATTGAGAAATCTTTATTCATTTACTTATAAATATAGATAGATGATCTCTGTGATTGAAATCTATCTCTGATCATTATAATCTACAATTTGATGATTTTTTATCAGTTAATTTGATTTTACTTTTAAAACTTTAATTTAATTGCATACAAAGCTTTTATCAATAAGAATATAGTAATTTACTTTGAAATCTACTAGTGATTTTGTAGAAATAGCATATTTATTAAAAGCTACTTTTATATATACAGTAAAAGAATTTCCTCTCATTAACTAGTTAACATTTAAAGTTTCTAATATAACTATCTTATCTAAAAAGAAAACTTCTCTCAAATTTAATTTTTTTTTTTTAATTTGATAGTAGTAGTCTCAATACTTACTTCTATCATCTCTGTCTTTTATTTTTATGAGCAATTCTGAGCTATATGATTCTTGCTTTAGCAGTTGAAGCATTCTTTATTCCTTCTTCAATTCTCAGTTCTTAGCTTGTTCTCTGGGACTAGTGCTATTGTATGGTATTGATTCATAGATTTGAGTTGAGAGAGTTTTCTCACAGTTATTCTAATATTGTTCTGCATTGAATGATAGTCAACTATTTAAACTAAGCATGCTTTTAAGATAATAAACAGTTTTAGTGCAGATATTCTAAACTTTCTGAAAAATAAAACAACTTGTACATGCTACTGCAATTATGTATTACAGATTAAAAAAAAGTTTATAAAGAAAGTTTATCTTATAATCATCTACTTGAACTTGAGCTTCCTCAATTAGATATAAAAACTTGATTGTAAATTCATAATAGTTACTCTCATTTTTCATTATCAGCTTTATTAACTGAATGAAAAAGATCTAAGAGCAGACAGACAAGAGCATGAAGATAGTACAGAAATAGATAAAGAAATAGACTGATAAACATTATTAAGAATCTAACTTCACAGTGAAAAATTTTATCTACTTGATATTGAAATCATACAGAATTGATTGATCAAGCTGTAAATTGACAGCATAGAACACAGATTTCTTTAGAATTATAGAGAGAATAAGCAATGCTTATAAATTAAATCTTTTCATAATTATAAAGATTCATTCAATTTTATTTTCAGATAAATTATATAAGAATTTAAAAAACTCTCTACTGAGATAGACTGTTAAACCATCAGATTCAATCAAGATAGATGAAGAAAATAAATGATAAGTGGAGCATATATTAGCCAGTTGAATGAATTGAGATAAATTGCAATATCAAATCCACTGGAAGAAATTTAATGAGGATTTATTTTAATACTTAGCTTATGACTTCAAAGAATCACCACATACTATATGTAACTTTCATAAGGCTAATTCTACAAAAGCTTGGACTCCCAAGGTGACTAAATGAGTGGCTGAAGGCATGGGAGACAGACAGCTACCTGAAGGATGAGGTTGATGACGACCTACTAGCATGAGGACATGCCTGTCCCTAGACTGGGGGGTGATGTTAGGCTCAGCGCCCTACCGAGGCCCAGCGCCCGGTTAGACTTGACCCGGCACCCCGCTGGCTCAGCGCCTGACCGAGCCCGACCGAGGCCCGGCGCCTGGTTAGACTCGACCGGCGCCCGGCTGGCTCAGCATCTGACCAAGCCCGACCGGTGCCCGGTTAGACTCGACGTCGGATTGAGCTCGGCGCCCGATTAGGCCTAACCCTCATCACGTGACCAAGCGACCATGCGGGTGGTTATAATCCAGGCAGGCCCCAGCACCCCCTCTTTCATCCCATCAAGCTTAGTATTTCGTTATATAGCAGTTAGCAACGCAGAGAGTTTCCTTCTTATGCAGCTCGCATTCGCTCCCTAACAAATACTAAGCTTTATGGGATGAAAGAGGGTGCTGGGGCTGCCCAATGTTATAACAACCTGCATGGTCACATGGTCACATAATGAGGGTTAGGCCTAATCGGGCGCCGAGCTTAATCTGACGTTGAGTCTAATCGGATCACCCCCTGGTCTAGGAACAGGCATGTCCTCATGCTGGTAGGTTATCATCAACCTCATCCTTCAGGTAGCTGTCTGTCTCCCATGCCTTCAGCCACTCATCTAGTCGCCTTGAGGGTCTGGCTTTTGTAGAGTTAGCCTCATGAAAGTCACATATGATATGTGGTGATTCTTTGAAGTCATGAGCTGGGTACCAAGACAAGTCCTCATCAAATCTCTTTCAGTGGACTTGATATTGCAGTTTGTCTTGATGTATTTGACTGGCTAATATACACTCCACTTCTCATTCATTTTCTCCATCTATCTCAATTGAATCTGATGGTTTAATAGTCTGCTCTAGTAGAGAGTCTCTTGAATTCTTACATAGCTTGTCTGAGAAGAAGATTGAATAAATTTTCATAATTATGAGAAGATTTAGTCTATAGGCATTGCTCACTTTCTCTAGAATTCTGAAGAGGTCTGTGTTCTATGCTGTCAGCTTATAGCTTGATCAGTCAATTCTATATGATTTCAATATAAAGTAAACAAAATCTCTCACTGTGAAGTCAAATTTCTGATGATATCTGTCAGTCTGCCTTTTCATCTGTTTCTGTGCTGTCTTCATACTTTTGTCTATTCTTTTCCAGATCTCTTTTATCTGTTTAATAAAGTTTTGAGCAGCTTTTTGATTTGTCTTCTTATCTGTCTCTAGTTCTCTTGACAAAGACCTTTAGTCAAATGATGTTCATGACTTATATTCATTTGCAGTTAGAAAAGAGGAGATCTCAGTGAAGATGTTTGAAATGACTGTAGAAGTATAATCTATGATGAGTAATCACTTATCTTAGTCATTTTGATAGTAATTAATATATAAGTGAAGATGTGTTATAATATACTGATTTGTTATCTCTGTCTGTTCATCTGTTTATGCATAATGTGCTGTTGAGAGTTTCAACTTTATGTCTAAAATTTCTGTGAATTTATTTTAAAAGTTTGATATGAACTGAGAGCTGCAGTCAGAGATAATTAAGTCTAATGCCTTATTATAGAAATAGTAGATTTAAATAAATAATCAAATCAGCTCTCAGTCTGTAACTTCTTAAATGATTAAAATAAAAATTATTTTTTGCTTAGTTAGCATATTATAATTAAAATAATATCATAATTTATTTTGCTTTTCAACATATTTATAAAGTTCATTATGATATACTGCCATGTCTATTCTGATATTGATAATGACTTTAGCAAATCAGAAGTCTTATCTCTTGAAATTTTACTGATCTAGCACATATAATAGTTTTAAATATAGTGTAAAATATCTATCTGTCAGATGATTCATCAATAGTATGATTGTATCAGAATTGAAGTCTTTTATTCTTCAGAATATGCTGTTGAAGTCTGATTATGAGTTTTCTGCAGTAGCTCAGCTATTAGAGTTTTCTTTTTCTGAACAAATATCACTAGTCTTTTATTGTACTATAGCACATTGTCTTTTATTGTATAAAAACTATTTTTATCATCTGTCTGCTGCTGCTGAAGCTTAATTGATGTGATTGTTATATTTAAAGACACTATGCATTCAGCAATATTCTCTTTCTCTAAGAAGTTGATGCTAACAATATCTGTAGAAGAAGTGATCTGAAGGTCAATAGTCATTGATTCTAGAAAAATCTATATATAGCTATTTTATTGCCTTCTAATCTGCTAAGATTTGCTTAGTGTATCTGCTAGCAGATTGACCTTGTCTGATCAATACTTGATCTTAAAGTAGAAATAGAAAAGAAACTCTGTCCAGCAAACTTGACACACATTCAGCTTTTTGATAGTCATGAAGTATTTCAGTACATAATAATCAGTGAGAATCTTAAATCATTTCTTCTGTTGTAGTCCCTCAAGCTCTGTCTATTATTCTTGTAAGACTCTGACCACTGTCAGCATTTTCTTATCATATATCTTATAGTTGAGCTCTGCATAATTCATTGACTTGAAGTAGAAGATCACAGAGTGTCAGAGATTATCACTTAATCTTTAACTTAGTATTCCAGCTATCACTTCATCTGAGATGTGTCTCAATATGGGTTTTGCATTCAAAGTTATAGTAATTTTGAATTGAAGCCTTCATCAGCTGCTTCTTCTGTTTCTCAAACACTAACTGATATTCTGATGTCTACACAAATTAAACTGTCTTCTTTATCAACTGATATAGTGATTTTGCAATTCAGCTATAGTTTCTTATAAATCATCAGTAGAAGTTATCAAATATCAGAAATAATTGAGCATATTTAACTGTGATTGAGATCTATCACTTTGTGATGATAGCAGTCTTCTTAGAGTCTGTCTCAATCCTCTCTATAATAATGATAAATCTCAGATATCTTGTTCTCTGAACAGTAATCTCATATTTTCAAATATTAGCTTGTAAGTCTGCTGTCTTTAATCAGTTCAGTATCAAATTCACTTGCTGCTTATATTCTTCAAGAGTCCTGCTGTAGATTAGAAGATCATTCATGAATGCTGTTATGAACTTATTTATATAGTCAAAAAAGACATTATTGATAAATTATTGAAAGCAGACAAAGACATTTATAAGATCAAAAGAAATTATCTGATATTTGTAAGTCCTGTAGCAGGTTTTAAATATAATCAAGTCCTCAGCTCCAGGGTTCATCTGAATGCAGTAGAATTCTTGTCAGATATCAGCTTTATGAAGTATTTTGCTTCATTGAGTTAGTCTATCAACTCATCTATTAGAGACAGTGAATATTGATTCTGTTTGATTATGATATTCAGTCTGCAAAAATCAACACAGAATTGTAGTTTCCTTCTGCTGCAGGTAATCAAAATGAGAAATACATAGAGAACTAAGCTTGCTATAATGAAGTCTTTTATTAAATTCATCTTCAGATAGATTTTCACTGCTTCTAATTCCTTCAGATTCATCTTGTATAGAAATGCATATTTTACATTTTTGATAAACTTTGCATTTAACTAAAGCTCTATCTTAAGATCAATGTTCTTGTATAGAGAAGGTAATTCATCTGAGATATTCTTTGAGAAGCAGTTCTTCTGGCCTTTCAATTACTCAGATAGGTTATCGATCAACTTATCATCAGATTCAGCATCAGCTTTTGCAAGATCTTGTCTTTTTTTAAGCTGCTTATCAATTTCATACAGACTGATAATAAAGACTATAGAGTTTCTGTTTCTCATATAGCTATGAAAGAAAGCAGCTTCAATAAAGTTCAGATTTATTATATGTGATACTTCTTTTCATCTGTCAGACTGAGTCACCGACTTCAGTTCAGTCTCTTTGTCAGATCTGATGTTCTTTTGCTTTTTTTCTGAGTACTCTTTTATCTGTTCTAAGATAGATTACTCACTTGACTAAATGAAATATTAGTTCTTGACATCAAGTCATATATTCTATGCGGCCAGCCACTTTCATTCTAAAATAATATGATACTGGTCCAGGTCAGTTATCAGTAGAGAGATGTTCTGAAACCTTCATTTATTTACTCAAAAATTTAAGACCAATGTATGATTTATCACCTCATCTAAGACTCTGTTATATCTCTTCATGCAGCATTTAAATAAAAGTTCTTGAAACCTTCTATTGAATAACCTTGCCAACTTTATAGCATATTGAATATCAATAAAATTCATATTATTTGCTTCAGTATCAGCAAAAGAATTTATAGAAATGATAATTTCATTATAGACTAACTTAATTGATACATTAAAGCTTCTTCCTTCAATCAAGTTCTTCATGTCAAATCTCTCACTCACTATTAAGCAATCTGAAGTAAAGGCTCTTTTCAAACTCATTCTTTTTCTGAATTTGCTGAGAGTTTAGAGATATCATTCTCTGTGAGCTCAGCAATCATCTATTAATACTTCTGCTTTGCAGAGCAGTTTCTGATAATGTGATCTTTCTTCTTACAATAGTAGCACTGAATATCTAAATAAAAGCTCAAGATCTTCTTCATGATAGAGAATTTTGAAATAGAGATGCTGAGAGATATTTGACTATTGACAGTCTGCAAAGTGCTCTACTTAAAAATATTAGATTTATTTTCTCACAAGCTCTTTGACTTCTGAGTGACATTGATTGCCTGAAGAATATGAGCTATCTGTATATAAATTTTCTGAAACTCAGTGTATATATCAGTAATCATATTGACTACTGCTATCATTCTCTGAAGATTAAAGAACAGCTTGTCATTAAAGTTTATCTTGTAATTTCTCTTGACAATCTTGACCTCATCTGCCAGATGTAAGAATTTTATAACAAATTCATGATAATTATTCTCATTGTGCATAGTCAGCTTGTGATAATCATTTTTGACATTTTGCATCTTGTTGATATTCTCATATATTAACTTAAAATTTTCAAATATCTCTTCTACACTCTGATATTACTTGAAGTGATTTTTCTTTTATATAGAATGCAATATAATGTGCTGTGTCTTCATTCATTCAGTTCTCAATGTATGTAATCTTCATACATTCTATAAAATAGTGATTGATATTCTCTCAGAGGTTATTTTTCATGCAAAAGAGTCAGTGCTCAAACTTTAACTTCTTATTATCAGTGAAATGTTTTGAGTCATTAATTCTGACAGATCTTCTTGTGTTCTCTGAGAAAATGATATCTCAACTTGTTACTTGATTGCTGACTATTATTCAGACTAAAATGTAACTAAGCTTATCATATTCTGCAATGAGCTCATTAATTTAACTCTGCTTAATAGCTGTCTAAGCTATAGCATTATTTTATTTCATTTGCAAACATGTGATTATGTCCTTTAGTACCTTCTCATCATCAAAAATATTCTTAAAGATTATTGCTAACTTATTGTAGATATGATTTTCATCTGAATGAATTGTCTGTCTGAATTTTTCAAGTGAGATCTGTGATTGATTAGTTGACTTTGTTAGAATATATCATCAGTTCTTCTTAATTCTTTCAGAGGGCTGGAAGTCTGAAGTGGCCATTCTAGTCTGAATGTCTCTCTGATGATTAAGAGAGATAAGTTGCTATTGTCTGTTGTGCTATCAGATTCTTACTGAGCAGACTCTACTTAATTCTAAGTAGAAAAAATAAAAAAAAATCTTAGTATTATATTAAAGTACAAATGTAAGCTGCATAAGAAAAAAGCTTCAATTTATCTCTCTAACTAGACAGCTGTGATGAGAATACTAAACTGAGAATTAGAATGTCAAAATAAACA